CAGAGTGTTGTTGGAAGAACAAATCGCGTCTGACAAGTCCGCCATCAGTGTATCGTCGTTTGTTGGCGGATCACAAGGTATAGCTGAACGAGAAATTCGGAAGCGGAGATAGCCAACACCCCCTAGACAACAGAGCACTAGTGCTGAATGAGATGGCGCCATCAGAGAAGGTGTACCCTGGACACAGATGGAGGAGGAGCATTAGTGCTGAATGAGATGGCGCCATCAGAGCATTAGTGCTGAATGAGATGGCGCCATCAGAGCATTAGTGCTGAATGAGATGGCGCCACCCTGGACACAGATTGCAAACGAGTGCCACGTCAGCGCTCGCGGCTTCGAGTCGAGTTTGAACTTTGAGCCGAACGTTGACGTAATCGTCGTGTGGGCCCAGCGTTGGCCTTCTCCAGGAGGAGTTGAGATAGCCGACGTTGCGAAGAAGAGTCTGTGGGAATTTCGGACGACCGCCAGCACCTAACGCGCTCTCAAGGCCGCTGGAGCAATTAACATGACGCGACGCTCTCGACTCGCATTCCCAAACTTCCGCATATCATTCTGCTACTAACACCTGTCGATATCTTTCGAAGTATAACCTTTAAAATAATTTTTCGATCAATTTTTTTTTTTTTTTTTTTTTTTTTTTAGGAGGCAACAACAGTTGGCTCACACACATGATGTATAACTTCAGTGTAGCTATATTCAGTATAACGATTCTTAAACTCCAGTACAACTTGAGTAATATTTTTAGTATAACTAAAGCCCCAGCCACACTGTTCATACGTCATACAGAATACACTATGTTCGCTGCATACATAATGACGCCTCAGGCATGTTTGCTTCGCACATACGTGTGCAGTATGAGATTACCTTCATACCAAGAAGAAACATGCCACAGACAGTGTTTCGTAAATGTTCCAAAAAAACGCTAACGATTTCTCCTTACAAAGGCAATGAGAGAGAAAGTGAGAGACTATTTTGTTTTGCCTGTATCGTTAAGTACCTTTTTCATATAAAAACGACAGCCAGCGGTGAAAGATGGAAGCGCGATCTGTATCCGGAAGTGAGGTTGCGCTACCTCTCCTGCCTCGTCCGCAACTTATGTGAATCGTCGCGTAGGAGAAAAGGACCGAAGAAGAGGTAGCACAACTCTCTCTCTTCCCATAGACTAATTATAATGTACGCTAGAGGTTCAACTGGCGCTAGTGTGCTGCGGCAAATTTAAAAGCAGACAACAACCAGTCGAGAACTGACTTCCGGTAATGCATTTCTATGTGAGAAGTTGGTGCGTTTTTTCCTCGCGCTCCATTATAAGAGCAGATATCCCAAATAATTCGTACGTATACTAGGTAGCTTGGAACATTTCTCAGTCAGGCAGAAGAAATAGATGATCAGTTACGACATTATGGTTCAACTGGTCTTAGTGTACTGCGGCAAATTTAAAAGCAGGCAGCAACCAGTCGAAAACTGACTTCCGGTAATGCATTTCTATGTGAAAAAGGTGAAAAAGTGAGTGCATTTTTCCCTTGCGCTCCATTCTAAAAGCAGATATTCCGAATAATTCGTACGTATACTAGGTAGCTTGGAACATTTCTCAGTCAGGCAGAAGAAATAAATGATCAGGTACGACATTTTTTCAAATTAACTACATTAAAAACGGTGCTAAAACGGCCTCGTACATGCATTTATGTGCACTGTCGGACACTGTTAGCGCGAACACGACGTCGGCGCTTTTCAGCATGGGGGATACACGAGCCGAACGAACGAAGAACATCTGGAAAACTAAGAAAGACGGCAAGAACTACGCAGTAATACTGGATCAGTAACGTCCAGGGCATGTACGATCAAGATAAATTAAAGGCCACGTAATATAGTCTGATTTTCAATAAGTACCGCTTTATTCTCTCTGCTCTGCGCGAAGATGCTTATTCTACGTTCAAAATATCACCCGCCAGCTCGAAATCTTTGATAACAAGTGCCCGATAAAGGCTGCCCGGCAAAGAAAATAATAAACAGAGACACCTTTCATAGCCCACGCACTTTATTCTTTACGTTTTGAATGTTTTTAACCGCTCGTAAAGATGCAAGACCGGGTCATTTTCACATGGTGACAGGACTGGCATATTAACAATATACCAAACCGGAATGCTGGCGAACCTTAAACACGCTCTATATTCCTATCGGATATTATTTTGTTTAGAATCGTCGTTTGTTTTTACACACTTGCTGTGGAACAGAGGCGTGGGCCTGAAATATAGCGAAGTTAAACATCGTTCACTGAAGAAGAAAATGCGCTAACTAAAGCAATTGCACTTTTAGAATGTTAATAAAACTACATATACTATTCGGTATGACCCAAATAACGAAAGTTATATATGCTATTTTCCGGCAAAGAGACAAAATGCACCCGCGTTTTCCCATAGGAATGCACAGAAGCACCGCAAAAGTAGACTGGTTGCTGTCTGCTTCAAGTTGCCTCCCGGAAGTCGCATAGACACTAGCGCCAGTTAACTTTTAGTTAGAGCTTTCGCCGCTGAGTTAATTTAAACGACTTAATTTTTGCGGGCGCTATATTTTTCGAAGTCTGGAGTTCGGGAATACTTCGCGGGCAGAAATTTTCGCGATCTGGAGTGATGTGCTATACGTATACGCCACCGTGGGGTAATGTCTGCGTAATAAATTTTTCGCAATACTTTAGAAGTCACAGAATTTGTCAAAAATTAGGTCTTGGAGGAAATTAAGTTCTTTATAGCATGTTAAATTTGCGTTCGTTGTTGCAGCCCTCATTTATATATATATTTTTTTTTTTTTGGCAACCACTTTTAGCACTTTTCCTCCAGCGACACAGTGGCAATTAACCGACGAATTAATTGATTTCGTCAATGTTGAGAGTCGCCAAGTGTACTGTCTTTCATACCGCATTGCGTAACTAACTGGAAAGTGGTTAGCTTTCATATGTAAATAACGCCCGCTCAAGTGGTTTGCAGACGTGGCTATCTCGACGGTGGAAGCGTACACAGCTCTTCGGTACTCGAAATAGCAGCAAGCACAACGGGGTTCCTCCTGATAGAAATCTGATGACGAGGGCTGTAGTTTCGCATTGCTATCCTGGCCGTCAGCACAGCAATGTGGGCGCGATCCGGGGTTGCTTGCCCTCCAAACTAATAAAAATGACAGTGACGTTGATAAACGGCCGCGACTCGTGTGTCGGAAAGTTTAGGATAACTCAAGAAAGGCAAACTGTTTCGTAACTTTAAAAATAGTTCACGTGTTTCTGTTCTCTTTTTGTTTCTTAGGATTTCGTTTTGCTATTTTGTTTTTCTTTTTCTAGAGGCATGCAGACTAACCAGGCTTCGGATCCAGTTCAGACTGACACAGGATACAGGTGTAAAGTCGCGATCCATAAGCAAAACATAAAATACAAAAGAGAAAAAAAAAAAGCAGAAGAAATAACTTAGGTATGGCTGAGTGGAAAAAGGCAACTTCACCACGAAAATATGCGTTGGGTTTGCGGGCGAGTTTAGATGTATGCCAATAAAAGCAGATTGGTGTGTGTGTGTGTGTGTGTGTGTGTGTGTGTGTGTGTGTGTGTGTGTGTGTGTGTGTGTGTGTGTGTGTGTGTGTGTGTGTGTGTGTGTGTGTGTGTGCGCGCGCGCGCGCGCGTGTGTGCGTGCGTGCGTGCATGCGTGCGTGCGTGCGTGCGCGCGTGTGTAAGTGTGTGCGTACGTGTGTGTGTGTGTGCGCGAGTGTGCGTGTGTTTAATATTGGGGGTTTAACGTCTTCAAAGAGTGCAATGTTTTTTGTTGTTTTTTTGTGATTTTGCAAGGGTATTTTGATGTAACGTGCCGCGGATGAACATTATTCACAAGGCAAAGGAGTCAAAATTTGAAGGACAAAACTATGGCGTGCACTTTCACATGAGTGATATTCGTTGAACGAGAACCTCTCACAATACGTCAAGTAAAATAAAGTTAGAGCCCTCAGCTGCACGCAATGTCGTGCGTACGCAGTTTCTGAAAACTACTCCAGCGCCTAAGGATTATTTTCTTTTTGCAACTTATAGCGCAAACTTTTAACAAAGCCAGAAAAAACATCCAGGAAAAAAATGCGAAAAAGCAAACTATTCACTTCGTACTTCGAAATTACGCTTACAATTCGATTCAAATATACTTTTTTGTTTTATCTTAGTCTAGTTTTTTTTTTTTTTAATATTAGCCATTGCACCTTTTAAGTTAATTAAGAACCAAAAAGAAGAAAAAGGAGTACTTATATAGGTTTACAGCTCGTAAAACTAGTTAAATAGGCGATCTGTAGTTGCTCTCATTCACTACGAAAATTCATTTTGCGAATATGACTCATACTCCAGATCTCCAAAATTGAGAAGTCTGTATTCAACAACAGCACTTGTCCGATCACTTTAACGGCTCTACCCCCCCCCCCCCCCCCCAAAAAAAAAAAAGAAAAAAAAAGAAAAAAACAATTTTAGATTGCAAGTGTGATCGGCTGGCGCAGTCGCCTGACGCTTCGTACAACACACAGGCACGGGTTTGGATATTTTCTCCGGAAACTCGAGTCAAGAAGACGCTTTTCGTATCAATTAATATAAACCTATATCATTTAAAAAAAAAAAATCATATCGCGCGGCGAATACAGGCGCGCAAAAATCTCCGGGCCCGTAGCAACGCGCAGAAACGCCAGAGTAACATCAATCTCCCGTCAACGCTCGGCCGAGACGAACCCTCCAAAAAACGCGACTCCACCGACTGTTCTCCCAGGGCTAGAACCCCGAGAGCAACAACATCGCCGCAAAAAGACACCGTTCTTTTCCCGTTTCCCCCGCGAGGCTTCTCTCCACCGCAGGCACTTTCCAAAAAGAGGAGCGCCCTAAGAATATAAACAAATAGAAAAGAAAACGGGATCCTAGCCCCCCGCACGCCCAGCGCCATTTGCCTCATCACAGCCAACGCGCGAGCCAAAGGAGAGCAAGCATAGGAGGGAGTGCTTACCGAGGTCGTTTTGTGTTTCTTGTTCAGTCTCTCCGGACGTTTGGTCGGCACCCTGCGTCTGTAGTCCGTCCGCTTGTAGTCGGCTTGTCTTTCTTGTTTTTGCTTGTTTTCTTTTCTCGAAGCGTAGTCCTGGGCGAACGCGAGGGTGTTCGTTTTGTTGTGGGGAGGGTTCTCTTGTGTTTCAGTTTCGGCGTCGGCGGGCCAGCGGCCAGAAGGGTTTGGTGGTTTTTCAACTTCTCGGAGTCACCGCGGCCGCCATGTCCTTCGCACGGGGTGTGCGGGTCGAAAACTGAGGCTCTCGCCAACGCCGTCGCCCAAAGCACCGCCTCCTGCGCCGCTTTTTGATGCTGTTTCGTGTTTCGATTTCGGCTGCTACAGCGACGCCGCCGCCACCGCCACCGCGCTTCTAGTGCGCGGCTTTGCCGCGCCGAGACGCCAGCGTCGGCGGAGGACGTTGTCTGCTACTTTGTGGGAGGAGGGCAACGAGGTAGAGGGGCTTAGAGTGATAAACCGGAAGTTCGGAAGTGGCACCCCCCCGGTTGCCGCCATATTTTACGCAAATGTGACCACTCGTCACGTGACCTCCCAAGAGCCGTGACGTCACAGGTAAGATGGCAGCGCCCAGAGCTGGCGGATGCGGGCGATGCGGGTTTGTTCGGCGCGCGGTAGCCGTGATGTGCAGCTGCTTTCCGACGACTTCGGGCTTCTTCGTGCTCGCTGACGCAGGTATAATGTGAAAATATAAAGGAATGAGACTTTATACCGTTTTTGCGCAAGATCGCTCTGGATCACCTGGATATTAACGCCTGTGAGACAGCATCAGCTCTGCATCGCCGTACCGGTGCTTGGATTCCGGGATGTGTCCGAGGATCGATAGAAATTTGAGTGCTTTTAACATGGAATTTTCGCATTCTCTTAGCTTTGTTTGAACATTGAAATATCTGAGAATCTACGCGAAATGTATACGTCGCGTTAGGGCCTAAGGGAAGTTGTTTCAGCCCTCCGTCACCGAACAACCATAGCAACTTTTAGCGAGGAAGCTCCTGCGATTTTAACCTTTTGTGCTAATCCACGATTCTACATTCGATCGCTTTTCTTCCTTTTTTTTTTGTGTGTGTGTTCATCCCTTGCCTGGAGAGCAGTCTTGTTGAAAAATGTTGACTACCATTCCTTTCGGTCTCTTCAATAGACTCTTTTTAAAAGTGTGGGCTGTCTATACTTCGCATCACCGCAACTTGGAAAAGGCCAACCGCCACAGCCCCCTCGAGCCAATCAGAGAGACGGAGCGGAGGTGTGTGACAAATCTGTGCAGACGAGCACTCTGGTGATATGCTGTCATGTGCCTCTCTCCAATGTGTGTATTGACTCACCGAGACCGTAGCCTTTGCCGTCTGCCAAATTCTGATGAAACAAATTACAGTAGCTACTACTGTAATTACCCCAGGCTTTCATACTTTGGGTATTTGTTCGACAAGAATGTTATGTCCGCCATCCCTGTGAATTCGGCTCAGCACCTATTGGACTCGAATGCTGCATTGGTGTTCGACGTGAATTCGGGCCCATTCGTGTGCTTTGCGCCGAAAAAAATGGTGACGGTTGTGTTGCTTGATAAGGTTCTGCACAGGTTCTATTGTGTCATACATATAGGAAGTGTTGTGCTATATAACAATGCATCAGCACATACTATTAAACTATATGCTCAGAGGTGTGTTTGTTTTTCCAATTAACAAGTTACAGCAGTGTGCTTTAATGCTATTATCATGTGTGTAGTTTTAAGTATCCCTCTGCAATGCCTACGAAGGCCCCTGGAAGGAATAAATTAATAAATAACATTTTCACATCACTGGAGTTGGTTTTCGGATGCACCACATGTTCAGGAAAGGTTGAACGAGTGCAGCCCCTTGCAAGAAGTCTGCCAGTCTGGTATGACCCCTTAATTAATATTGAAGGGTCAGAGAAGCGAGTGTCCTCGTAAGGTCCAGAGCATGCAATGGACACAATTCTTGGTGTGTAGACTCTCAATGCATGAAGGCAAGCGGAAATATGTTTATCTGGTTAGTGTATCAAATATGTTTATTTCCACTTGATTACATAATTATTGATTCTTAGTAAATGGTTCCATAACGAGTTCTTTCTGCGACAGTCTCGTGCCAGGCGTTCAGTCGTAGTACCTGTGGACCTTGTTGTCGGATGACGCTCCTGGCACGTCGGTGTTCAGTTTGGTCGAGTGGCAACTTTGACCGACTGAAGCTGTCTTGTAATCATACGTCATGTGCACTGAAGCTGCAGGGCTGGCTTCTAATCCGAAAATTTTCCTGGTAGTTTTCGGCATTAATGTAGCAAGCTCGGGCATGTATTGCTTACGTGGCTGTGCCTTTTGCTGTACCGTTGACTTGAAAGCTGGCAACAATTTTTGTTTGCTATCCAAGTCTGGTGATGCTTGCAGTTCACTTTTGAGAGCAACCGACCATTCTATTCCTTCAAATCACTCAGGGGCATTCTCCCTCAAAGTTCGAAATTGTGTGCTTCGTGGAGTGGACACAGAAAATTGGTGTCAGCAAATTTTTAGGTATTGTCCTTGGACGACAACCGACACCAAATCCACTGTCACTGCATCGCCGCTCACCTGCTTTGTCGTGCTTACCTCTTGTTGAGGTGATGGACATGAGGAGCTTTGGGGTAATCAGGGATTCAGAATCTTCGATTCAGCACCTTCGGCATCAGGGACAAAGGTCGCCGAAGGTAATCCTTAATCTCCCGTGGTCGCTCCTCGAGACGTAATCGAGGGTCGTTTGGCACGAACCCTCGCCGACCAATTCATTGGTACGGGTGGTCGGCTTCATGCAGTGGTAGCAAAGTGGTTTTCGGTCGCACATTCGCATCACCTATGTTTTCCTCGGTGTACTTTGTTGAGCACAGTCCTACACACGATGTCGGGAATGTCGGCGTTAGAGTGTCTCATTGAATTGGCATTGAATACTAAGGGGCAGCCGGTGGCGGTCGTCGTGCCATTGTGGTGTAAGTTGCCCTTGGTTTGTCAGATGCCGCTTCGCTCGCAGAAGTCTCGGTTGAAATACCTGTCAAACTTGTTCCGAAACAATCTCGGCAATCAAAATAAAAGCCGGGCAACTGATGGCAGGAAGTAGCTTCCTGATCTCCTCCCAGACAACGTTGTGGGTGATGTCGTGGATGCCTGGGAGGCTGGTGTCGAAGTAGTAGCTGGACAACTCGAGTGTCGAGACGCCGGGAAGTTGTTCATAGTGGCAGGCTCGGGCATGCAGTGCACATTCTATGTTGGAAGCCTCAGTGATATGAACACTTCGACTGTTGTCGGGGAGTTGCGGACAAGGCTGTCGAAGGTGTTGTCCCTCACGTGAGGCGCATGGGATTCTTAGGTTCTTGACTTCTGTAGCATCAAGGTCGGCGTGGGCGTGGGCGTGGGCGCTCGATCAAGCGCAAAACATCCTCCACGAGTGCGGTGGCGCTCTCATTGGGGCAGTGTCCTGGACAGAATCAAGAATGCGGCTCTCTTTCGTTGATGTTGGCTGACGGATGCGCGCTTCAGCTTGATCTTGCAAACTTCCCATGACGTTAAGGAGGATCCATGGTTCTCAGACCAGCGCCGGCAGCTGCTTCCACGAGAAGTATAGGTTCTGCAGGAGCTGGTTGTCTGCGACACTGTCATATTGTTCAATCCGGTCCTTGACGTCTTCATACAGCTTGCGTGAAAAACGCGTCGGAGTGTGATTTGCGACGGGCATGCAAACAATGGTGTGAGGGGACACGGTTTGCTGCTACAGGTTTGTCATTGTTGGCTTAGTCAGCTTCGGATTTTCTGACAGGAGACCGAATTCCGGTGGTTTTTCCTGGTAGCAGCAACTGGCTCGGATTTCAGGTGCTTCGTGGTGTATTTCCGAGGTTACTCCTTGTGGTACTCGGTCGTCTTGCGGTTGTTCTGCCAGGCTCGGGTCAGGACTTTGCCTACGGCTCGACAGGGGTATAAGACGCAGAATAGTCCGCCAGCCGTGTCCCATTATCGGGTAACTCAGCTGAAGAGCCGCCGGGTTCACACAGAGTGAAGGGCTACGGGTAAAGTGCCCAGCACCTCCACCTGAACACACGATTACAGCTGAGCATGACCTGCAGTGTCCCAGAATAGTGAATATTGATAGAAGAAAGGACTGGAACCAGGATCCGTGACAGTATAACAAAACTAGCAGAAGAGAATCTATCCTGACCACTGAAGAAGCTGTATTGCTTTAGTGGCATTCTGTCCGAATAAATCCTCTCCTTCGGGGTTTGGCGACTGCCGTGGACGAACTGAACTGAAATGGATGTGGGACCACTTTTCTGGTAATGAGACACTGCAGACTGTTGCCACAAAGCGGCGTGAGCTGGGTACGTAACACGCTCGGTGAAATGTCCGGACAGCTTGCAATTCGCGTAACGAGTGTGGATGAAACGTTTGTGTTGACGAAACGTGCGACAGACCAGCGGGATCAATGCCAACTGCAACACCTGTGCTCCGTGAAAGTGCACGTCTACGCCGGAACAATTTCGGAAGCAGCACAGCATCACCTAGAGCATGGCACAGGAACTACCAGCTTGAAGGCAGCTCTTCGGTGCGCCGCACACCTGTGCTCCGTGAAAGTGCACTTCTACGCCGGAACAATTTGTAAGCAGCACAGCATCATTCAGCACGGCACGGGAACTACCAGCTTCAAGGCAGCCTTCCGGTGCGCCGCACAACCGAAGTGAGCCCTCGGTCATTTGAACGAAGCTGCACCACGATTGCACACCGCCAAGCACGACTCACGCAATTTCCGTCGCTAAACTGTGTATCCAAATATATTGCACACGCTTCACTGCAAACCTCGAAGATTCCGATGGTCAACGAGAGCACAGAAACGTCGCCTTAAATTTTATCCTAGCGGTATCCGAATCAATCCGAAGTCCGAGCAACGTAGGTCAGATTGTCTCTTCCGTGGCAATGTCCCGGTCGGTCACCAGCGAAATGCACACCGTTCCTCCGTATTTTCACGTTATACCTACGTCAAACACCACGCTGAACTCTGAACTCGCTTTCGACCGGCCTCATATGACGGCTTCCGCGTCTGAAATCAACTCGCCGAGACGAACGACAACCAACAAAGCATCCGACAAGCTCCGGCCCAGCTGGGGCCAGCCGCTGCATGGGCGCTGCCATCTTTCCTGTGACGTCACTTATTTGGTTTGGTCATGTGACGTGTGGTCAAATTTGCGTACAATGGCAGCCTCCTTAGGGGGGTCACTTTCGAGTGCAGACCGGAACCCCGGTTTATCGCTCTAAGCCCCTCTACCTCGTTGGAGGAGGGGAAGTCCAAACAGGAGGAGCTCGAAGCCCAGAGTTCAAACTCCGGCACGTGACTTGGTCCGTCCAGTCATGAGTCTTCCCCGGAAGCGCTCCACCAATCGCGGTTCGTCTGCCGCCTTGGTGCGGTGTGGCCGCCATCTTTATGAAATATCGCGGTATTTTCGAACGCATCCATAAAATTTCGGACGACTTTCGTATTTAATCTGTAATGTAGAGTTGCCTTGACATCCAACTTGTCAGGTTAATCCAGTGGGATTACTTATATCAATTATAAGTTACTGCTAAACACGCATACTCCGTGTCACTAGTTCTGTGCAGTGTAGGCGAAGGCAACGCCAGGTGGAGAGAGAAAGGACGAGCACTAAGAAGGCGAAACGGGAGAGGAGGGCAGGAAGGGCGAGAGGAGAAAGAAGGAAGAGCACCAGGAATGTTGGAGAGGAGAGAGGGGTTCTTTCTTCCTCCACAGTTTTCCTACTGCTTGCCCTTTCTCACCTTGCCTGGCGTTGCCTTCACCTGTACCGCACGCAACTAGTGACAAGGAGTATAGGTCTTGCCGTCTTGATGCATCGGTGGTACGTTTGTATTCATGAGCTTATTAATTGCTTATAAAATTTCTGCAAATTAAAAATATTCAATCTTCACCTTTTTTGCGTTATGCAGCCACATCCTTTAGAGGCACATTCGTATCTTTAACGTCCAAGCAGGGCACGGCATGTTGCGATTTGCTGGAAATATTTCAGAAACCATGGAAGCCCTTCCTGCAAATATAGCAGGGTGTACTGTACGCTCGTTTTTTTTCTGTTCATGGGGGGAACAATTAAGGTATACATTTCACAATTTCTCATTCTTTAACGAGGTCCCCTTCTCACCACTGCTACGGAAAATATGCGCCGATCTTCAAAACTAAAATTATCTAAGCTTTCTTAAATATTAACTGTTACCAGTTTTTGTTTTTATTATAAACTTTATAGTATATGCATCTTTTTAGATCACCTTAAAGACCAAACACAAATTCGCGCTTGCAACTTTTCCCCCGCTTCCTCCTCTCCCTCTTCTACTATGTCCACCATTGCCTATTTCTTCCTTCCCCACGGCGAGGATCTTCTGCCTTGCAGAATCTCGTGTCTGGTCGTCTGCAGTCAAAAAGTTTTTTTTTCTGATGAACATGATAAAACAGCGAGGCTTATCAAATTAAAGAAATTGGACAGCAATGCTTGAACCATCTTTCTCCGTCGTTGAGTGCCAAGGAGGCGACATTCTTAGCTAGGGGTGTTGCGATCCGGTCGAGGTTTGAGTTCGACCAGGTTCAATGTTTTCAAACTTTTTGTGAAGTGAAAAGTTCGACAAAGGTTCGACTCAGGCTCGACTGCTATGTGCATGCGTGACAGGCTGGCCAGTAGGCTCTGGATTGGATGGTGATGGCTAAGGGATAAATTAAGGGCAGCACTGATTGGTTAGTTCAGGTAATACAGTACAAAAAATTAAGTTAATGTCCTTAAAGATTAGAATTAATTTCTTTTAATTGCAACTGTTCATAAAATTATGATAAGCCTTTGCATAAAAAAAAAAAAATTCTCCACACCTAGACATGCTTGTATCAAGGTCTGGCCACACTGTCCACAAAGTCGAACCAGTCAAATCTGTTTAAAAGTTCGAAGGTTTGTCCTAGTCAAACCCTGAAAGTTCGACCTAAAAATCCGGTTCGACAAATGTTCGCGACACCCCTATTCATAGTCAACGCCTACTGCGAGTGAATTTGGCCAGCGGGAGTGAAAAAGTGCTGTAATCTTTTCTGTTCTTCCTATAGGTTGTTTTCATGTGACGTCAATTCGCCGTTTTGTTGTTAGTTTATTTTTTCAAACAAATTTACTAATATTAAGAATTACATCACAACCTGTTGAGGAGATGTCAGCGTGGTAAGACTTGTAATCTTCTGTGCTTTACGCATGTAAGGGGTCATGTAAATCCTTGCCCTCTGCACACTCTGAACAGCTCAAAACAACAAAATGGCGGACAAAATTATGTCAGTGAAAACTAGCCATTCTTTTCTTTTATATTCTCTTTCTTGTTTCAAAGGTGAGCTGTACAGTTTCTTCTTCCTTTTTGTTCTTCGCTCAAATCAATCACATCTGTTTATAGTTTCTTTTTCCTGGTCATATTAACTGTCACATAGGGCCCAGTTCTCTTGCTTTTTTTTCTTCTTTAAAAAAACTCCGTTGGGAGTCAGCACTCTTTCACTCTACTTGTTCTTTCTCTTCCTCCATGTTCTGTGTGCTGTTTTATCATGTCGAAGAACCAACTAGCTCAAATTACTACCTTACTTTTCTTATGAACCTAAAGCATCCCTGTTCAATAGTTTAGGCACTTGAACCACTGAACGCTGCAGACAAAAATGTATTTAGAAGTACTGTACGGAAGACTTCAGCAACTTCATATCTTGATTATGCGAGTAAATTCATAAGCATAATTAAAGTTGGTAAGCTGGTTGAAGATTTACATCGCAAGCAGTCAGATCAGGAAATCAGCTCGCAGCCGAAACACGGTCAGGGTCAGAGCTTATCAAATGCCGCCGCCACATATTAGGGAAAACTTCATTCCATATATGTATCACTCCTACCACACGCTTGACTAAGGTGTCGCACCGTTCATGACGCAACACCAACACTCCAGACGACTTGAGACAACATAGTGCTTTAATCCATGCAACCTCCTCGCAAAAACGGCGGCAACGGGAGGTCACTTTCATCATCGGCACCTGCGTGAAACAGAGTTTGGAAACAAAAGGTTTGAAAAGGCACACAGTGGCTTAAAAAGAAAATCACCAAAGACATTTTTGACTCAGGTTCCACAGCGTATACGAACAAAGCAGAAGCCACAAACAAAACAACACTATATCTTGAAGGCAAAAGGGAACCAACCTCGGCCCGAGAATTAGGTCGAAGGCTTCTTCTTCTGGCCCTCGTCTTCATCGTCGTCGTCGTCGTCCGCTTCATTCTCAGTCTCGAACGTGTTGTCCGGGATGTCGTACAGGCGAATGACGGGCTGTCAGACGGAACGACACGACGGCATTTAACTGGGATTCGCTACGAGACTAGCTGCTGTTAGGCAGACTCGTAACAACATAATTGACCCTTTACGCAGATATGGTTTACATGATCTAACATAGATTTTCTTTAATGTTCCTATTGTTAACCTAGACGTAGGGTCCGTCAGTTCTGGATAGAACATTTAGAAAACCTTAGAGGATGGCACAAATTTGTTTCGCTTTTCGTAATGAAGCTCGGCAAACAATTGGTCCCTATACTTCGAGGGTTCTATTTTTTTTTAACTAACAAATGAATCTCTACTTTGAAGCAGAAGCAGATTTTTGACGCATCTTATGATTAGACTTTCGGCTTTGGCTACCCTGCACGATTCTCTATATACTGCTACTGTGCGAATCCTCATTCTACCTCTAAAGAGTTCAGAAAAGGCGAGTTGACAGACCAAGCTTACGGCTTTCAAAGTACATCCACTTTAACCATACTTTAATAAATGTCTGTATACACATAAAACTACCCCCACAATGCTGTAATTTCGCAATCCGTAAATAAAAAGGATTTCACCATGAAATGAAGCGCTCAACATAGAACTTAACAGATATTTGGTTAGAAGCTTGGGCCAGCTGGTCATTCATATTTAATGAAACGCAGCGCAAAATACAAACACAGACCTCCCCATACGCATTCATGTTTCGCACCGTACGCCATCAAAGTAGTCGCTAGTCAACCCCGAAGAAGAAACCAAATCAGTTTCGAAACGTCGGAACCCAGAATCCTCAAGGTGCAATTGGTGATTATCCTTCATTTTCACAGCCTTTAATCACAAATGAATATTGCACACAGCGAGCCCTTCACAAAACAAGATGTAGCTGCTTTCGACTCTGTGCCTTAAAACCTCTCGGGATCTCGTTCGACGAGAGAAAACACTGGCTCTGTCCGTCGGGAATCTCTGGAATGCTTAACGTTTCCATAGGTCTCCTATTCTTCGTTGCAATCATTCTTTCTTTCTTGGCCTGAAAGACTGTTGACAATGTTACGAATGACCGTTTCCCACAGACAGTATGTACGTCTGATCTCGCCAACACCGCATACCTTTGCCCTAGTAAAATGCAGTTCCAGGGTCACCTCATTCTCTCGTCGTAAAAGATTGCAAGAACTCGGTGGTAAGCAAACGCAAGTGTGCGTTTGGGCCTGAACGCTTCTACGACGTCGTGGGGCGGAAATCGGAAGACCGCATCTGGAGACGCGGTCGGTTGGAGGTTCACTCCGGGCAATGTGTTGGCAGAATGCCCCATGGCCGTACCTTGTTTGGGTCCTTCATGATGAGGTACTTTCCCTCGGGGAGCTTCATGCAGTTGTCGATGATGCAGCGCAGGATGCCCCAGGCGTTGTCCATGTTCAGGTTGATCTGGTCCGCAAACTCCTTCGGCTTGAACTGCTGCGTGCCCAGGATGGCGTGCTTCGACGAGTCGCGCACGTGCAGACGGCTCACATACCTGCGGGGGATGGGGGGGCGACGCTCGTGTGAATGGACGGACGGCGGACATGCCCGTAAAGAAGGGTGGTGACTTGCGCCACCTACGATCCATCTCGCAAACTACTAGGCCGTGTTCCAAAATTTACTCGATCCTACTCCAGGGTAAGGGTTTTGTACCTTGGCATTCCAAAGCCTACCCTCGTCCAGCGTTTTTCAATTTGCGTTGTCACGTGACACTACCCGCCAGTGTAACTCGGATCCATTTGAGTACGATTTGGAACACAGCCCTAGTCACTCCAAGGGTGGATGGCAGATATGCTCATAAGGAAAGCTGGCAACTCGCACCACCTACAGTCAAGCTTGCAAGCCAGTGACTCTAAGAGTGGACATCCATGAAAAAAGCTGGTGACTCGTGCCACCTACAGTGAACCCTGAAGACCATGTTGTGGGTTTCCCGGGATGCTTGGGGCACATAGGTTTAGTTTGTGCCATAAGAAGGTCGCTGGTTTAGTTTGTGCCGTAAAAAGGCCACCTATCATTGTAATTTTGGGCTTTCTGGGATGCTAAGGGCATGCATGATTGCAATTTCAGGTGTTCTGGCGTGCTTAAGGCATGCACAAATGCAATAAAGGAAGCGCTCCGGCATCTACTCACCCGAACTTGATCTGGTCGGAGCCTGCCAGCAGGGCTTGGACGGTCCACTTGGCCAGCTTGCACGAGTTGTTCTTGAGCTCGTTGGCCAGCACGGCTCCCCGCTGGGTGTCCAGCTTCTGGCGCCAGTCAATGCCCCCGGAGAAGCGGGGGTCCCACTCGTTCAGGGCCTTCACGCTCACAAACTGAAGCTCCCCGTTCGGGCCCACCATGGCACCGTCGCGCTCACAGCGCACGATCAGCCCCACCCCGTCACCCAGGTCGAACTTGCGGTACCTGCGGCGACCACAGAGTGCTGCATCATCCTCATAGAATCTTTATATCAGTGGACGTTGCAGCTCCTTAATGCATTGGCATTAGAACGCTCGTTTGACGAAAACCCGGCGGTGCCCTTCGCTTGTTAACGCCAGCGAGAGACAGCGACACATGTGACACTCCCATTGGTTCAAAGTGCCGACGTCAGCACGCGTGAACCTCTCCCTCTCTCCCCAGCGCTGGCAAACTGACAGACACCGCTGGGTTTTTGTCAAAACAACCGTTTTCGTTAAAGGAGCGTCGCATAGCTGGCGCAGAGCCGAGAGCAGGAGGTACTGCGGCATGGTGGAACGCAGGCGTGCTCATTAGCCACTCTGCCATCGCCGGTTGTTCTTCACTCCGGGTTTCCGTATAGAGGTGCGTGGGCTGTGATGTGTGTGTGTAGTTAAAATATTGAATGCGGTTCCTTTTACGAGTGGTACGGATGCGGTTCTTTCTACAAGCAATATGGATGACCGTATCCAAGGGTGTCGATATACTCTGACAGGCAGAGCACAGAGAAGGGGGCGAAAACAATTACAGGAAGATCCATTTGTGGATTCTTATGGAATGTGTTAGCATGACCCTTGGGACACGTCGCACAGTCGCCGGTCACTTGTGCTATTCTTTTTCCGTTGCAGCTGTACCTTATTTAGGCACTTTAAAACTCCTCTTGCTCTTTAACTTTAGTTTTTTTTCCTTTGAATCATGGTGAAATAAATGAGTCTAATCTGGTCACGACTGCCCATAATTACATTACTACTAAACGCCTCGTTCACGACGTGGCATGACGTCTCACCTGTAGGCGACCGAGGCAACTTCACCTTCCTCGTCCTCCTGGATGAAGGGGTTGGGGTTCTCGAAGCTGTGCTTCTCTTCTCCCTGCGGCAGTCGCACGACAGCCTTGTCAGAGAGGCCCGACCTTGCTCGTAAGCAACCCCGTCATCTCAACTACGAAGCACTCTTTTAAGGCAGAGCTTCCCAAACTTTGTGGGCTCGAGGAATGCTTATCTGCTTTGAGTGACGGCCAAGAAGTGACGTCGCTGCAGTACGGAGCGCAACACGGGTAGCACGAACGTGCATTAAAAGTCATCATACTTGTCTCGACAGCTGACGAGTAAGCCGCAGTGTTTAAAAATGTGCTCGTATAAATAAAAACCCTGCAATGTAAAACTTGATGTCTAACAATGAACCACACGAGGAAAAAGAGGGAACATCACGCTTGTGATATCTGCGTTACATTGCGTTCACAACACCTACAATACAACAAAGACAGTTCGATACGAAGCATTCTTTCACAAAAAATGTGCGTGCGATGTTGCAGGGGCATTGTTGCAATCGCACGTGCGTTCCACTCACCATCTTGAGGACTTGCTGGGAGAAGTTGTGGTTGATGAAGGTGGCTTCCAGGGCAAGATTGCGGGGTGCGTTGATCGAGTTGCCTTCCTCGTGCGGCGGCTCGGAGGCAGTCTCGTTCACCGTCAGCAGGTCTGCGCATCACCACGCGCTCGTCACCACCCCTCACCACCAAAGGAATTACGCGGGGCGGTCGCGCGGATTGGCGCACATTTTAGAATCAAGCCACCTCTAGATCATGCTCAAAAACCCTAGTAAGCTGTAATCCCCCTTTTGCATCGTTAGCCAACCATCAGTCTATTGAATCACCGCAGTCAATTAGCAGCCGAACTATCGACTTAAACGTTACGACGAGAACGATCACATTGTTCTTTCTGACACTGCCCAATTGGTAATCTTAAGAACAAGGGGTGTATGTACACAGCCGCTCAGTAAACTTTCTGAACACACTGCAAAGAATGTGGATTGCAGGCCTTGCAGGGCAGTAGATTCTCAAGAAGTTCTAGGGCATATATCATCTTCTATATCTGTGAGACAAAGGAATTGATCATTGGTAACCCACCATTAAATTTTTTTTTTTCCCATTTTTCTTTAAAATGAAAGAAACAAGCCTGATAAATAACTGCGAAGAATAGCAATCCTGCTTTGGGTCAGAAATAAGAAATGAGTCAAACTCACCAAATTCAGAATCGTCCCTCTTGTCGAAGAACAACTTGTCGTTGACGCGCTGTAAGACACGCACAAGAAAAAGACGGACCAAACTTTATATCTTCGAAATCCACCACACTTCATTGAACTTTGTAAACAATGATGTTTTCCACAACACTGAATCTCCAGCCTCCACATAGCAAGTATCATGATCTTTACTTTGTGAATATGAAAATGAGAGATTGCTTGAAGTGCACTTAAGACTCGGGAACCAAGCAACTGCCATACGGAAATGTCCCCATCAACAAATTACTTTCCTTCTGCACTTTATCAAGCAACTTTTGTGTGAAAATCTTATCGGCTCCAACCCCGATAAAAGGTTACAACTTTTCCAACAGTGCAAACACAAGTTATTCGGAACAAGCAAGGTTGACCCTGCTCCAAAAAACAGAGTACTTCTCAATTTTTTTTTTTTTTCGTTCTTTGATTAAGGTATTTTGTTTAATGTTGTTCATTTTTCTGCATGCTTTCTGCATGCCTGGAGCAAATTTTGTTTAAAATTGATTTTGTTCACCAGAAATGCATCTACAGAGATATGAAATGTGTACTTTGATCACACAATATTCCATATGGGCCAACAGCATTTAGAATAAATAAATAAACATGCTTACACTGCTAGATTCTATGTAAGGGCTGCATCCTCTGATTAATGATGAATGTATGTACATTAAATTCAATTATTACGTGCCAACAGGTCATCCCCTAGCAATATCTACGATCTCATTACATTGCGGCAGTGTTGGCCTTCATACTGCTTTGCACAAATTTAACAACCTGGATTGAACAAACAGGCAAGGGCAGACGAAGAAAGAAAACCTACCTGAACCACAATGTCCCAGGAGTAGACGGAGCGTCCCGCACACATGAGGCAAGCCACAATCGCGTCCGTGGCAAAGATCTTGTTGGTTTGACCTTCCGTCTTGGCCAGCTGCGAGCATAAAGAAGGAAAGAAAAACCTTTTGAAAAGAAAGCTCGCAATCCTTTACCAGGGTGACAATCTAAAATACATGGAGTAGACTTATGTGCATAATGTAAACATGCACAAATGACATAGCAGCTCCTGCATTGCCACGCTCGAATACAGGCCAGAAAAAACAACAACAACAAGAGAAACAAATATAGTTTGTAAGAATATGTGCCCCAGAATACTTTTTGGAATACCAAATAAACTGTAACAAAAATATTTGGACTCTTATCGACTCAATTCCACTCACTTAGCACCTATTATGAAATGAAATTAGCATTTTCCTTATTATTACTTTATTTGTTAAGAGAAGCAAAGAAAATGTGCTATTTACCCCCCCCCCTTCCCAACCACACACAAACACAATGTGCAATATATAACTCTTTTATCTCTTTTTCCAGACCACCAAGAAGCTGAAAGTCTGCTTAGTGAAAGTTCCAGGTGAAATAAAGAAAAAAAGGATGTCAAACATATGTTTTTTTTATTTACGGGTCTATTGCCTAGTTAAGTCCCAACTAAGTACCCTTTGGCCGATAAAGTTGCAGCCTCCAGACAGTTTAGCTAGACAATTCAGGCAGTGGCCAGCAAGGATCACTATGTGTCCAGGGGTTGACAGTTTCAACTTGCGTGAATGAGTACTTAGGTCTGAAAAGCCACGCATTCTTTTAAATATACGACTTTTCTTCGTGTTTTCGGCTGGCCCCACTACACACCGACGCAATTCCGCAATGTCATGCCACCGCGGTGGCGCTGACGTCGGCACGGCACGTGCACGGACGCTTCACCTTGCACGAGTACGACCAAACGTAGGCGCGTTGGTAAGAAGTGAGTCGGCGTATGGATTCCCTGGTCGGTAAGGTCACTGCCTTCGAAAGGTCCGACCCGCAAGGACTGCAAAGTGTGCGAGGCTCGTCTGTTTCAACGAGTGGATGCGACTGGCACCCTTAAAGAGGCTGACCTGTCGGATGATGGGGTCGTCGGTGGTGGTGACCTTGTGGAAGATTCGATTGACGCGCTGGAGGGGCTTCTCGTTCTTGCACGTCACCAGGTTGTACGCCTTGTCGTAGAACTCCACCGCACCGCATTGGTACCTGTCGGGACAAATGGAAGAGGAGCGGGCACCGCGGTTTTGAGACGCACGGCCAACCGCGTCGTTGTGAGAAAGACGGCGTTTCGTCTTCCGCGACCGCAGCCAGTTCCCTCCCTATTTCCGTCGGCTGCAACTGCAACATGAACGCTCGCCGGAAGCGAGAAATTTGAAACGCGCAAATACAAAAAATCTTGCCTCCTTGGAAACTATAAGGCGTAGCTTCTTACAATACACCTTCAATACTTCCAGAAGGCAGTTGCTACGTTTCCTTCAAACGCAAAAGTGCTACCTAACAACGCGAAACACAACGAGGAGGCTGACAACGGCACTAGATTACCCAGAAGGGTGAGATTAGCCGATGACAACACCCAAGAATGAGCCCCGAAGCGTGATCGTAATAGAATGTTCATTATCCTCCCGCCTCAACCTCGACGGCTGTGGAGGGACGCCAGGATGCTCAAGACTCGCCAGGCCTTGTGCTTGTCGCGTTTTCCGACCACAGTACCTCGGCATCTGCCTTGGGCAGGCTTCTACTGCACCCGATTACAAATCTTAAAAATTTACACTAGCTCGATCTTGCTGACAAAGACCTGGGAGCACGGAGTGAGTTGCCAGTGGGCTGGGCACTTGCTAGATGTGTGTGATGTCACATTGTGTTACGTCACATGACATCATAGTGTCACATATCATGAAGTCACAATGTCATGTGACGTAACATATCATAATGCCAAATTTCATGAGATGTCACAGCATCACATATCATGATGTCACATTGACACATGATATAATGTCACAATGTCACACGACGTCACATAATATTGTAATGTACCAATGTCACATGACATCACCGTGTCACATGATATTATAACGCCAAGGTGTAACATAAATGTCATGACGTCACATCGGCACAGAATATGTCACAATGTCATGTGACATCACATGTTATCATTACGTCCCAATGTCATATTATGATGTCACGGTGTTGCATGATATCATGACATCACAATGTCATGCAACGTCACGACGTCGCATAATATGACATCACAGCGTTATCTGGCACAGTTGTGTTAAGCAACAGCACGACATCACAGTCCTCTGTGACGGTTGTTTGCGACTGCTTTCTTTTAAAATTATAAACACACATTCTGCGTTGGAAGAAGGCAGAGAAAGTGAACATACACATCCTTGCCCTCTCCCACCCCTGGCAGGGAGAGCTTGAAGAGGCGGGGGAAGTCCATTTCCTCCAGGACCTTCCAGGTGGGGCGCACGTTCACCGAGGCCTCTCGGTGCTTCACGGGCACCTGACCCTTGTTGTCAAACTTCTGACGCATCTGCTTCTGCCACTTGCGAACCTGCTGCATCCGCTCCCTGTAACACGAATGCCGCCAAGGATTGGCCTCGGTGACGCAACAAAGCAACGCGGACATATCTATCGGTACCGCGCTTGAGAAACGGGCGTCTCGTTTTAGGATGGGGAAGGAATGCCGAACTCCCCAAACACATTCATTTTCTTCGGATGCCTGGACAGAATACGTAAGAAACAACCCCCCCCCCCCCCCCCCTCCCCTCCCCCCCCAAAAAAGAAAGATATATTTTCACAAAATTTACATATTGAGGTTTTACGTGATAGCCAAGAAAAACGGGGACAATAAGTGAGAGAAAACACAGAGCAGACTGCAAGCCCCGTACTGTGTTGCCTCTCACTTTTTGGTATAAATCCTCAGTATGAATCAGACCCAACTTGCAGTCTTAATGCAATATTTACGCTGCAAGGCTCATTGCGAGTAGGAAGTGACTCGGAAAGCTGTGCTTCAATTTTGGGGTCGATGTCTCGAAACAGAAGCACAATAAAATATTAAGTTCAAAATATTTTTTGTGGGAGGGAAGTTTAATTTTGGGCGTACTCTGCGTCCTACACGGACATCTCGAAAAATGATTTTTAGGCAGTTCAGAGCTCATTCATAGACACCATGAAACGAAAACTGTTTTTTGGGAACTAGATCACTCTTCTTTTATGCATGCAATAAGCTCAGCAAAACTTCAATATTATGATCGGATGGATCACCCGTTGCCACCAGATAATGTTTTCCCTGGTTTAAAGGGGCCCTGCAATCATATTTAAGCGTCCACCTTTTTTTGCGGTTTCCACGTCTCTTGGCGTTCGGGCAAGCCAGCGGGCACAGAGAGAGCAACTAAATATCACTGCATCATATTTTAACCGGACGACGCGGAAACCTCCTCCGCCGACAAGGGCGACCCGCGGTACCGAAAGCGCGCGAAATGTGACGTTTTAGGTCCTGGGCTTACTACTGGTCAGAGCCGCTAAAAGCTTCTTTTTAGTCGAAATACAAAATATAAGTGGCGCGAACCGTTTCAATTATCCATAAAGGTAGTTTTCGTTCAGTATTTTAGATCAGAAAAGAAACAAATGCAGTTTATAAAGTACGGGAACAAGAAAATGACCCGTCGACATACCCACCACCAAGCGGTGGAAAAAGCGGCGCATATTAGAAAGGGGTAGTGGGATCAGGCGCCGACACGGAAAGGTCCCGGATGTACGCGGCGCCGCTGCGGTCGTTTACGGACTGGAGGATCTCACCGGCTCCGAGCGTTCCGAAGGCCTTCAGCGAGCAGCTTCGTCTTGCGGTTTGGCCTTTTCGCGGTATGGCGGCGCGAAGTGGCTCCCATTCTGAACTAATCTTTACCCCGTGTTTTGTGCCGTTTGTGGCCAATGAAGTGTCATGCCGAATTAGTCTTTAATCGCGCAGCAAATGCAACGAGAGCCGCTCTGGCTGCCCGCTGTATACAATCCATCCAGAACACGCTTTAGTGGCGCCCTCTCGCGCCGTCGACACGGAGTGCAGCCGGCCGTGAGCGCTCGCTGTGCTCACTATCCCTCCTCTAGTTCACGGCCACTCAAGCAACCAAGGACGTCATGAGGGAGGTTATTTTTTGCTTGTTTTTGTAATTTTAATTTGCCTATAACTTTTAAAATAAAGCGAAATTCGAGAAAAGAAAAGTTTCATTAAATTACTACGGTCAGTGCGCTCAGGTTTGGTGCAAATTAAAAGCCAGTAAAAAGTGCTTGCAGGGCCCCTTTAAACAAATCAAGAAAAAAAAAAGGGGAGATTTATAACTGCATTTTTCCACAGAAACCAGCATGACTAAACAAAGACGCTATGAACCCCCCAAACCAATCCAGTGCTGTGAAGGCAACATGTCGCTGCGCACCTCCTATAGGCCATGGGACGCTGACATGGCATCGGACTAACTCCAATGGCTCATAGTGTCCGCAGCAGGCTACCGGAAGATGAAATGAAGCCAAAGTGATAAAGCCATTTCTAAGACAAACGGGTTCTAAATGTGGCTGCCTTCCCCAGTGCTGCAGTAAACCCCACGCCCCCGACACTTTCGGCTTTAAACGACGCACAAACTCCCAGAAAAGGAGCTTCTGCAGCTATGGAGGCACAATTTCTATTGCCCATTGTAGAACAGATATTTGGAGCACTGGACCTCAAGAGTTGTACGCCATACAGTTGCTTCGGCTGAAAGGAGAAGGAAAAGAAAGCGCCGACTCACCGCTCCCTGCCCTTGGCAGACTTGGAGAGAACCTGAAGCTGCTGCTGCTGAACCATCTTCTGTCGCTCACGGCTCCGCATGTTACGTTGCTGCGGGACAGTGACGACAAAAAGTGCCGCATCAGTTCCTCACCCTAACCTCTAATACACATAACTCTCCTCCCCCTATATTATAGTAACGAAAAAAAAAAAAAATTACTTTTGCATTTATGAGTTATTTTAGAGTAATGAGGTTCAAGACCCGCTTTAATGAGACCAGAAGATCTCGCACACCATTCTATTGTTTACAATCTCGCAGCCCAGCGTGCATTCTTCGCAGCTCAGCATGAGCATGTTCGTCACTTGAGTGAAAGCGATCAAAGCACAAGCCATCCGCACAAACAATGAAAACGGTGCCAGCCACAAGCCCTTCCCTGGAATGGTCTACATGTGATCTTGGGAAACCCCCCAGCTTCTTTCCGGAATGGCCAAGATCGCCAACTAATGTCCTGTCAAGAGAAGACTTCGCAAGCTTGCATGTTTTAATGAAAATACTACCCACACCAAAAAGAAAAAAAACGTGGGTGTGTTGGACTCAGAGTCGCACCCTAAGGCACGGCTCGGCCATGCTGAAGTTGCGATTAAACTGGTGGGACGCTTAGAGAGAGGGACGATCGAAAGAATTTGGGAGCTCGCAATACCTCTGGGGGCACCTCGAAACCATCCAATTCGGGCAAAGTCTCAGTCCTGCTTCATGCACCATTAAAAGCTGCAGGGAGCGAGCGCGACTTCCTAAGCTCAATTGACACCCATTGTTGCCTCAGTAACCGACAGCCTAAGAAATGCGGGGCGTGGCTTGTTATGTTGAAGCTTCGCGATTCGTCCTTGGGTGTTCTCAGAGGCTGCTGCCGCAATTTTATTGGCTGCGGAGTGACGACAAGCTGCTTAGGGCTTGACGGCGACTATAGAAGGTTTGTGACCGCCGCCGTCTGCTACACCGTACCTGGTTCATGCGGAAGCGGCCGCGCTGGTGCAGTGGCTTGTGCATCCTTGCAGTGTCCACCAGCTGGAAGGTGCTCTCATCCTCCTCGTGATAGTAAGCGTACTGGGTGCCGGACCCGAACTGGGAGCTGTACTTATCTGTTCAGAACGGGAGGCAGAAGATTGGGGGAAGGTCAAGGACTCTGTGAGTAAGGTTGTCGACAGCATGGTAGCAACGCCAACACAACCCAAGAGTGCGTGGCGGCTGCCAGTCCGACACTTTCATGGCGGCGAGTTAGTTCAGTACGTTGCAGGACGGTATCTGGTCGTCTGACAACAAGAGCAATAGATGGGCGGTGATCGTGCTTGGCAGTTTCAATCTTTCTTGCTGTTTTGGCTAGATTAAGCTTTCCACAATCCAACTTATTCCGATCCAGTGGCTCATTTCGTGGGTTTGTACAAGCGACAAGGTCAGGGCAAACATATCAAATCTTGAAAAATGTCGACGAAACTCGGAAAGATGCCAGCGGCCATTAAAATGAAGCAGCTTTAAAAACAGAAAACTAGCTATTACTTTTTTTGAGGGACACTGGTGTGCAAAGTAGGTTGAGGGACATTGGTCAGCTTGTTTACATTAATAACAAAGAGCCAATCAAATAAAATATTCTACTGGCAGGGAGAACAAACTACATACACCAGCAAAGAATCCAAGCCGAGCTGCGTTTTGTACGCAATGAGCAGGAATGCAGTGAATGGAACGAATGCAGCCACCGTACATAGGAACTTCTTGAAGTTCCTGAACCTTGTTGAACAGAGGATCAAACAGGCCTTCGGTTGAATAGCTCCAGATTTATAAACATTCTAGTTTCCTTAAAAGTTCATACCGAACTGTGCTATTGGTTTGAGTCAAGGCGACCCAATTCACTGCACTATCGAGGTAGACGCAGGAAACCGACACAGATGCAGCCATACCTTGACAAACCAGACGCGAGAAGTATAGCAGAAACTTAACTAATTCGGAGACACATTAAACAGACCATAATGATTTAAATCCTGGGACAAGTATAAATAAAATAACACACAAAAGAGTGTTTATCAGCTCGCCTGCACATTTTCACCCCTTCCAAGTTTTGACGTTTCATTCTCACGGTACACTACGGCAGTGATCATCAAAACACTCACTCGCAGCTCGTCGGTCCTGATAGGTGGTGCCGGTCCAGTCGGCGACCTGCAAATCCGGGTTTAAAGCTCTCATTAAGGTCATTGTTCAGAGACACAACCGCGATCGCGGACTGACGTGGGATTTTCACTAGGCCTAGCAGCTCACCTTGCCGAGTCTGTCGCTCTTGGCGAACGGCTGGTACGGCATGTCCTGGTACTGCGGAGGAATGGTGCAGGGACCCCATCCCGTCGGGTTGTCCTGAATCGCCGGTAATACGAACCGGGCGGTCATCCTAGGGCCTTAATTTGCGCACAACTCGAGCTGCGAGACCATATGCCGCCGGTGCTGCGAAGAGGAAAGCCGGATCCGGATTGACCGGATTCCGGATAGTTTAGTGGATTGGAATTTGGCAGCAAGCAAGAAGCTTAGCCGGATGTCACAGGTGCCAAGGGTAGAAGCGAAACCGAAACTTCCCTGCCGAGCGCAAATGAGCGGTCGTGTTCAGCAATCATCAGCCAGTGTTCGCCCTAACTTTTGTCCAAATAATCTGTAAGTAGTGAGATTAGATTGGCAGAATGACCAATCCAGGAAGTAATGCGGATTCTTGGGCGAGTTGGTACTGAAACTTTGAGAACATGATAGCGTTTCAACACAGGGACGAGAGTAAAAACGAGAGAACACAATGCACTAACTTCAACTGAAAAGCAAGACACCAATGCTCGCAAGAACTGCGTCTCCTTTTCGCCCAAATCGATCGACGCCACGCTCAATCCCCGTAATTTTTATTTTTTTATTTTTTATTATTAGGTTTGTCTCTATGATTTCCTTTACCGTCTTATCTCTATGTTTTCTAATAAGTGCACATATTAAATTCAGGTTTGCACACACAGTCATGACAGTGCATTGACAAATGACCTGACGCTGTCGCCTCACTTTTTGGTAGTGTTCGCGCAATATTTCATTTAGACATCTTCCCGGCTGTCCCACGTACTTTCTGCCGCAAGGTCAGCGAGATCTGATAGACAACTCCTCTGTTCATTCAACAGACGGGCTGCGGCGATTTTTCACGCAGCCAACCGGTGGTTTGCGGTAGGGGTCCGTGAGTTAATTTGCACAACTTGGCAAATTTTTCCGGTGCAGAAAAAAAACCACCCGAAAATTTACTCATGAACGCGCAAACAATGCACGCCGGAAGGCAATGCGCGCGTGTTGGAGGTGTAGCTTCTCCTGCAATTTACACCCCTTTGAAATTTTGTTCGCAGGTTTGGTTTGCGTTGTGCAGTGGTCTGCATGCCAATCTATTCTCGCAGGGCAATAGAAAAAAATAATAATAATACAGGACAATTTCAAATATTTTAGTATCCAGCTCGGTGCACGTGCCACGGGCTCCGAGTAGTGGCCCAAAATTTAATAGTTGCTTCTTTCTTGAGCATGTAATGGGGATTATTAATCAAAACGTCGCAATGCCGACCTGTCAATAACGCATGGCGAACAAACAACGGGGGAAAAGAAAAGCATTTCACGCAGAAAAAAGAATTGGTTTTTGAATTTATTGATACGTCGTTACAGTCACGTTCATTGGGGTATAAAAAATCACGACCTCGTCCAACATATATACAAGCATACATTTGTAAAATGGACTATGTGAAGGCAATATACATGCTCTCGAAAGGACGTAACCAGGACTATAGTCTGTGGCAAGTTAAGAAAGCAGGAGGAACTCCTCCCACAAAGCTCTCTGCTCGTCATGATTGCTTGTTGCCTCCTTTCCCTTCGCCCCCTCACGCGTTCGCTTTGCTAAAGTAGGAAGGAGGAAGGCTTTCTGGGAGGAGCCTGTACTGTCCCACATACGTATGGAGAGAGCAACATTAAAACTTTTGCACAGGGGGTTATAGCTGATCGTTCCGAATGAAACGGTTGCCTTCCGAGTGCTTTCCCGTGTACTTGTACTTGAGGACCCCGTACACAGTCTTCTTTTGACTACCACTCGATAGAGCTGGCAGGGGCGTGAACCTGTTCGCGTCCTCCGGCTCTTCTGCCCACGTCGGCGCCTCGTACAGTCGAGGCCTGGCAACTTTCATGAAAGCTCCGACGCGCCTCGACTCCCGACGCTCCGACGCCGTGATGGCCCTGGAATCGAGGAACCGGAGTTGGCGCAGCTTGTGGATGACGTAGTAGCGGTACCGCTGATAATCGTCGTCATCCTTGTCCGGATTCGTGATCTGATCGGGGCAGGCCGGGTTGCCGAGCAGGCTGAGGAACGTCAGCGTCGGGTAGCACTGCTCGATCGAGGAGATGAGGAAGTCCAGGTTCTCGAAGCAGTTCTTGTTCAGGGACAACGTCTTCAGCTGCGAGTTGAAGCGGAACTCGGATGGATCGGATAAAACGTTGTTGTCGAGCACGAGTTCGGTGAGCTGGATGAAGTGCTCGATGCCCTTGATGGTGCACAGGCGGTTGAAGCTGAGGTCCAGACGCACCGCCGCGAAGGCGTACGCGTGCACCAGGCGGTCCGGTATGGACTGGCACTCACGGCCGACGTAGGAGATGTCGCCGTTCCGGTAGGGTTCGTACACAGTGCCGTTTTGGTCGTCTTTAGGTGCGTTGGAAGACGCCGCTGTGGAACCCGCCATGTTGGGAACGACAGGCGACAGATAGAAAGGGGCGCTTATCGCCTCGGCGTGGCTTATCGGCTTCGTTTTCGCATACGGACGCGCTCCTGATAACGGCTCCAAATGTTATGCTGCTTTCTGCGAAGGCTGCGTATACTTCCTTTCTTTTTTCTTTTTTTTCCGGGTTCGTTTGAAGGGTTGAGATGAAAACGGAGGGGACAAGTGGAACGATAAAAATATGTATGTTAAAAAAAAAAACATACAGAATAGACGCTATGCTCCGCGACAACGTTTCTTGGCAATGCAGTGGAAGGTACAGGCCCGCGTCCCCTCTCCCATTTTGAGTGTGCGCGGGCTCTCCTCCTCTCCCCGAAAATGGGGGAGCAGGAGGACCTGCGTACACACAAAATGGGAGAGGGGACGCGGGCCTGTACCTTCCACTGCATTGCCAAGAAAAGTTGTCGCGAGCGACTGCAAGTTTCCTCTGCGTGAGAGCCGACTGTACACTTTGTTCCCTATGATGGACCGCAGCGGACGTTACAAGCCATCGAAGACAACCCAATGCCGTGTGATTGTCACGTGGACGCCGTCGCGCTTAGTCACGTGCACAATCCTCTCTTTCGTAGTAGCCACGTGATAGGTTCACAGCGCTGGATTGGCTGGGATGATTCGTGGTGTCCGTTGAGGTCCGTCAAAAGGTAAAACAAATCATAAAAAAAAAAAAATGAAGGTAGCGCACGTTGGTTGCAAACAGAACGACGCATATTTTCACTTTCACTAGACCCGTGCAGTAAAGCCAAAGCTACAGTAACGAGAGCGCATGCCAACATGTTCAAGTTGAGGGAAAAGAGGACGGGAGAGAAGGGCTCGGACCCCCAACGTTGGGGATCCCTTCCTTCTTCCTTTCCCAGCTCTTTAACAGGTCGGGCTGCACTCTTTCCCCCCTAGCTTTGGCTGTACTGCGCGGTTTTAGTGAGAGCGAGGCGACAAAAAACGGATGGACAGACACGAAACGAAACTCGGCGTTTCGTGTCTGTCCGTACTGTCCGTCCTTGTTCTTCCGTGTTCAGCCTTGACCTGATTGCCAACTGTTTGTCTCTTTTTTCTCCCCTCGCTCCAGGGTTACAATGTCATAAAAAACGTGTCGGTTTGTCTACTAGAAAAAAAAAAAAGAAAAAAAAAAAAAGAAAAGAGAAATGATGTGCTTTTCTGGCTTTGCTGCCGAGGTTGAACTCCAAATTTAGCGAAAGCCAAATTTCTTCGCAACGAACCATGGGCCACTTTAAAGATGGTCGCTTCCACATGCGGCTGGGAACTTTGGGTCGTTGAGTGATTGTTTTCTGTTTTCCCGGCAAGTATGACCTCTGTTGACGATCAAAATCTCTCAAAAGTACCCCATTTAAAATTGGCGACTGTAAGCATTATCAATTTAACCTGCAGTCAACTTTAGAAATAGTTCTGAACTTGCAAAGACGATGAGCTTCATATCCAGGCAATGCTGCTCCGTCGCCGGTAGGCTTTTCGCCGGCAGAGTTCTCGTGGGTTCCTTGAACCCGAGAGATGCTTGCGTGCTGCCATATCGGTCTCACTTTGTTCGCCACTTGCACGTCTCGAGGAGCCATTACTTTTTCCGCAAGAAGCAGAAGGTTTCCGAGACGCGGCTGGCACTCCGAGAAGAGATCTTCAAGAGCGAGCAGTGCCGGGATCGGGAGGGTTTCATCGAAGTGATCGAGCGGTTCAAGTTGGGCAACGAGAATCGCAAGGGCCACGTCGAATTCATCAACGTAGCGACCAAGTACCTGGAAGAGTTCAACGTTCACAAGGACCTCGCCATCTACAAGATGCTGTTCGATCTGTTTCCGAAGGGCAGGTACCCCCCGAAGAACCAGATCCAAGCGGAGTTTCAGCACTTTCCCTACCACCAGGACTGCGCTCTTCGTCTCCTCGACGTCATGGAATACAATGGTAAGGGCATAGAAGCATCCTCGTACGAACTTGCTATGGAACATGCACATCCCACGCTCGTTGCCATGTAATGAAACCGACCTGTTGACCAGCGCGCGGCTCCGAGTCTGGCATAACATTGCTGCGGTGGCGCTGCTGTCGGCACGGCGCATTACGTATTAAGCTGAATTTTGCCAGAGAAGTAAATGCTGAAACTAGACAACATAATTCAAAGCAAACTTTCTGCAGCGACAAAGAGTTGGAAATAGTTGTTGGAAGAATAGAGGCAGCAGTTTCAGGGCAACGGTATACAGATTGGACCTATGAAAGCCTAACTAGGCTTTTTGCTCTAGAACTAGACAAAGTTAAGAGTAAACGAAAGGGGAAGCAAGGACATAGACCAAAAAGCTGGTGGGACAAAGAAGTGAAGCAAGCGATACAAAAACGTCAGGAAGCCTCTAGAGAACACAAGTATTCCAAGCGTAGTGGGGAGTCCGAAACGGAAGTAAAAAGAAAATGGGACAATTTTATAACATGTCGCCGAGAGGCATCCAGTTTGATCAATGCGAAAATTCAGAGAAAGGGTGAGGAATGGATGAGTAATGTAAGTAAGAAAGATAGAAACGCTGCCAAGAAGTTTTGGGAGCACTTGAACTCACTCGGTGAAACAACGCAAGCTAGACAGAGGTTCATACTCTCGCATCAGGGAGATCAATTAGAGGGAGATGATGCGATACAATATATAGGAGCAGTGATGGAGGAGAAATTTCGGGAACGGGTACATGTGGAAGATAGGAGAACCGAAGGAAGTAGCAGTCCAGTTTGTGACATCGCGGATTTTGGACAAAGAGAATGGGAAAAGGCGGAACGAAGAGTCCCTAGTGGCACGTCGACAGGCACAGATGGTATCCCTATCAAGCTGGTGAAGAATTTGGGTCCTAAATCTAAGGCAAAACTAAGGGAGGTAGTGAGTACCATGATAACAAAAGGAAATATTCCAGATGAATGGAGGCTTAGTAGGATGAGTATGATATATAAGGGAAAGGGAGATAAGTCTGATATTAGGAATTATCGTCCTATAACCGTGACACCGGTTATTTACAGGTTGGTAATGCAGATTATAAAGAACAGACTGGAGGAATGGGTAGATTGCGAGGGCATACTGGGCGAGTTACAGAACGGGTTTTGGAAACAAAGAAGGTTGGAGGACAATTTATTTTCTCTAACACAGTGTATAGAAATAGCGCAAAAAGAAAAGAGACAGCTCTGGCTGGCATTTCTGGATATCAAGGGTGCCTATGACAATGTGAACCAAAGAAACCTGTGGGACATAATGGAAAACTTAAACCTAGATGAAGGACTAACAGCACTATTAAGGAACATTTACAGAGATAAGAAGGTGATTATAACATGGGAAGGAAAGGCGACAGGGAAAATAGAGATGAGACAAGGCCTTAGGCAGGGTTGCCCGTTATCGCCTTTGCTGTTTATGTTGTATCTGAGAGGATTTTAGGATAGACTAGAGAAGAGTGGGCTTGGATTCAACCTTTCTTACAGTAAGCTAGGCCAAAAAATTCAGCAATCCTTACCGGGATTGATGTATGCGGATGATATTGTACTAATGGCTAACAACAGGACAGAGTTGCAGGAATTAATGAGCATCTGTGGTAGGGAAGGAGAGGAATTAGGTTTAGAATTCAGTAGCGAAAAATCAGCAGTCATGATTTTTAACGAGGATGAAGTTGAGAGGCTGAAGATACAAAATATTACAGTTGAGAGAGCTAGTAAATACAAGTATATAGGAGTATGGATATGTGATGGTGCAGAATATCTCGGAGAGCATGAAAAGTATATAATAGGTAAGGGCAACAGAGATGCAGCTGTAATGAAAAATAGAGCACTTTGGAATTACAACAGGTACGAGGTGGTGAGAGAGATTTGGAAAGGGGTCATGGTGCCTGGCTTGACTTTTGGAAACGCAGTGCTATGCATGAAATCCGAAGTGCATGCGAGACTAGAAATAAAACAGCGCGGAGTAGGTAGACTGGCTTTGGGGGCACATTGCAAAACGCCAAACCAGGGAGTACAAGGAGACATGGGATGGGCATCATTTGAGAGCAGGGAAGCGGTGAGCAAGATAGAATTTGAGGATAGGTTGAGGCAAATGGATGGGGAGCAATGGGCACGAAAGGTTTTCAGGTATTTACACATGAGGAGTGTAGACACAAAGTGGAGACAGCGCACTAGGAAATTAAGAGGAAAGTTTTTGGGCTATAGCAAAGATACGAAAGAGTAAGTCTCAGTTAAGAAGAAAGTTAAGGCCACAGAAAGAGATCGGTGGCTAGAGGGAATGCAGACAAAGACGGCTCCGGAAAGCTATAGATTAAACAAAAGAGTTATTGCCAAAGAAAGCATTTATGACAATTCTAGGGGAAGCTCATTGCTGTTTGAGGCGAGGACGCATGTTCTGCGAACCAGAACATACAGAGTGAAGTACCAGGAAATTGATACAGTGTGCACTGCTTGTGGAGAGGAGGACGAGACGGCTGAGCACTTGATACTCTACTGTAAAGGGCTTCACCCTATGCCTACCGAAGACAACATAGATTTAATAAAGTCATTGGGTTTTAGAGACAGCGAAGGGAGAGTGGATTTCAAGACTGTAGAGATTACCAAGCAAAGATTAAGTGAATGGTGGCAGAAATCGAGAGAAAACTAGGTATTTTCTTATTCACTGATGGCAAGGGGGTTTCATAGCCTCACTTTCTTTGCACGGCGGAGTGAATATAGATTTTACGTTTAAATATTCTAAGCTTAAATGGTAAAACAAAATGGCTAGGTGGCGTAAGCTACCGCCCGATCCAAAGGGCTCAGCCGTATTCATCCATACATCCATCGCATGCGCAGGGGCTTCGCATCATTGGAATCTGACTTCTGCAGGCACGCAGTCCCCACACTTGATGTGGGCCAGCACGGGCTTGTTTGTGAACAGCGACTGGGCATATGACATTTTTAACTTTGGAGGGTGGGGAAACAGAAGGTACAGGAAAACACAAATGAAAACGGCAGGGCTTTCCTCTTGGACGTCCGACCTCCTGCAGGTGCTCGTCGCTTTCCGTCAAGCTTTTGCCTTATGTGCACGTTTAAGGCTCTTGGCTTGCCAAAACGTTTTCAAAGGTAGGGAGCTTGTGCTGGCGGCAGGAGAGCTGACCGCAATGTTATTACAGAATTACCACGGGTCGCATCATTGTCGAATATTAGAGACCAGTAATGTGATGACCACCTGATCCGCTGTTACAGCGTAGGACGTAAGCTTGTTTTTTCTCTCGTTGTTGTCACTCTATTGGTGCATATCTAAGTGCATAGTCCTGCATATGTCTAAAGGACATCCAATAGACAGACATTTGGATGTCCCACATGAATGTCGTTAGGAGTTGTTGCATTCTCCTGGGGAACTTCTTTGGACATGCTGTCCTGCAAATGCTTGGAGGACATTGAGAGAACATCAAAATCAAAGTTGTTTATCTTAGCACAAGTGGTTGTCAGCTATTAGGAAGTTTAACAAACATAGAAAGGGATGTTGTACTCTTTTGGGGAACTTCCAAAACACATAGTGGTCCTTCAGATGTCTACAGGACATGCGGAAGACCTTTAAATGTTGAGGCATTTTTCTCTCGGCAAACTACGAACCTGCAGATGCCCGAAGGACATTAGGGAGACAGACGTTCGGATGTCTTATAAATGTGTGTCGGCGAACGCCTGAGGAATTTTTCTGAACACCCAATTCTGCGGATGTCCGGAGGACATTAATCCTTTAACTGAGGAACACATCTTTAGACACACTGCAGTTTTGACCGTAGCTTGGGGGGCGTGTCTATAAACGCTTTGCTCTTGAGTTGGTCTTGGGGTGTCTGTCTTTAAATGCTTAGTCTTTTTATCGCATGGGAGGAAGCGCTTCTATTCCAAAACATTGGAAATAACTTTGCTTTAGAAACCAATGCATAAATGGCAGCACAACAAAAGCTTGATGAGGTACTACATGGGGTACCATAAAATATTGGCAAAATGGGGACAAAAAAGTCTCCATTTTGCTAATCGTTTTTGGTCGTGGAAGTCTTTAGATAAGGGGCTAAGGGGACATTGAAGTCCAAATTGTTTACTTTAGCACAAGTGGTTGTTAGGAAGCCCCACAAACATAGAAGGTGATGTTGCATTCTCTTGGGGAACACTCCAAGCACATAGTCCTCCAGAACACCTGGCACACTCTTGAATATTCTCTGAACATCAACAGACTCTGTGTTCTCTTGGGGACCTCTAATTCCATGGCCCTCTAGCTGTCTAGTGAACGTTTAGGAGTAACCTCGCAGATGTCTAGAAAACATCTACAGACCTTTAAACATACTCTGAACATTGACAACACCGTGTTATCATGGGCAACTCTAGACTTGTGGTCCTCTAGGTGTCTAGAGGATGTTGAAGGGTAGTCCTACATATGCCTAGAGGACATCTAGGAGACATTTGAACATCTTGTGAGCATTCACAGAACCATCTTTTTCTCGGGGAACTCGAAACCCGTGGTCCTTTAGACGTCTAGAGGTTGTCTAGGGAATGTCAAGGCGTCCTATGAACGTCGACATGAGTGTAGTAGGGAACTCCAAATCTGTAGAGTTCCCCTAGATGTCTAGAGGGCGTCCAGGGAATGTCGGGACGTCCTACAAACGTCAACACGAGTGTAGCATTCTCTCGGCGGAGCCACACAGTAACCGCACTGCCTCGCAGCGGTGGTCCCTGACCGGGAACTTCGCCAGGCCGTGCTGGACACCTTTGGGTTCCACAGCGAGGTCTTCAAGAAGTTTGCCCGCATGATGTACTGGATGCCCAAGCTCAAGAACCTGAGCCCTTTCCCGCTGCCCACTCCTCTGCCGAGGGAGCCCCTGGAGCTCGCAAAGCTGGCCGTGCGCCGCATGTGCGTCGACCTCCGGACGGTCGTCTCTGTGCGAGAGGTGGGCTCACTCTTCGTCAACTTGCCTCATTACCACGGTTACGGTATCTGGAACATGTCTCCGAGCGGTGCATTTACTGCGTCCCTCGAACGTGCTCCCTCGATTTATGCCCGATGTTGCGTAGAAGTGTCGGGCCGTTGCGTGCCACAATCCAGCTGGTGTGATGGTAGCAGTGGCGGGTGTGGCAAATGCCTCTTCCGCCGCAGGTTGCTCTCCAGCTTGACAGTTCACGGAAGCTTTGGCAGCCAGGAGTCAGGACACCACCACGACAACGGCACTTTGGGTTTTCCCGGTTTTTTTTTTTCGGGATTTTTATGACCAAACACCAGGATTGTGACATTTGACAGCAGGACACTCCGGCTTCTGTGACATCATTTGTTGCCCTCTTCTGTACCACTTTCAGTGCAAGGGCAGAGTAGTAGGACACTAAACACACCAGCCAGAGACGCGTTCAGGCACCTTAAGGCCCGTTCACACTCTTGCGACCGAGTACGACTGAGAGAGACGAGATCTCTTAAAACTTCTTAAATGTTTTTAGAATGAGGGAATACACTGGCATTGCGGCGCCATCTATGCGGTGACCCTGGAACTGCATTTCACAAGAGCGAAGGTTTTGCGGGATTTCCGAGGTCAAATGTGCGTAATGCCCATAGAAAGGCTCGTTTATAACATTGACAAAAGTTTTTCGAGCCAAGAAAAAAAGGATAATGCTCGAGAAATAAAAAAAAATATGCCGGACCGCCGAGTTTACAATGCTTCCCAATAGATGGCGCCAGTGCGTTTTCTGGTCTAAGAAGTTTTAAGGAACCCAGGTTTAAGAGGTCGCAAGAGTGTGAACGGGCCTTTATCGCTACAAAGGGACATCCATGTCTACTCAAGTCAATAGGCGACGGAGAGGAAGTAGCAGTTCGTCTTTCGGCATATTCGGCTTTTCGCTGGGCATACGGAGGAGGCACTGAAGCAGTATGTGAAAATTAAGGTGTTGAACGTGTTGCAGGAGCATCACAGGCGATGCTGGCAAAGTTGCATTCTTACGGAGCGACTCGACTTTGTTCTGATCGTTGTTGCGCTGAGCTTGGAAATGTTTCGATAAGGTGTCCGCATCCTGTAGTTGTGTTGCTCAAGCTAATTTTAGTGAGTTGATTATTTGTGTTCTTATAAATTTTGTGTTTGCTTTGGTGACTGCTTCCTCTGCCGTTGGGTAAGGAGAGGTTATTTTGTAGAGTCGTTTTGTACTGCTTCTTCCTTCCTGTCTCTCTATCATGAAAAGAAATAACCTTGAAACTTGAAACCTGGCCACAGCTGTAAATTCGTTTCAAGGTCCCCTCAGTTTGACTTGGATTTCCGAGGTAAATTTGCTCTGAATAGCTATCAACTTCTCACAAGTTGAGGCAATTTCTAAATAGTTTGTTGCTCAAAACCCTTTCCTCTGCCACAAGTTGACGTTTACCTATTGACCTGGGAATGAGGGTTAGGCGTGGGGAGGCTCACGTTTTCTTCACCAAGAAATTGGAAAAAAGAAATTGTAGCGTACACCCATCCAAAAGTTTGAGATAACAACGAAAAAATCGGAATGGGTGCCTGTTAAGTCCGAAAGTAGAAAAGCTGAAGAGGTACATGCTGGGGTAGGCCCCTGTTTCATTCGGCGGTACAAAATGCGACTAGTGTAGGATACTGGCAGAATCCCTCATTTTTAAAACAGTTGCACTGCTCTTGTCACGTTTACTTTTGTGCCGGTGCTTAGAGCTTCCCTGCTTCACACCGGTGCTTGTGGGTAAAACTTCACTGCCTTGCACCGGGCTCTCGGAGGAGCAGTTGACGTGGGGGAGCACCTCAGTTAGCTCTATTTTTTTAATGCATGGTAATGCTTGAGGACAGACAAAAGGAGAACTGAACACCACTGCTGTGCTTCTCCTCCTCTTGTCTTTGTTTTTGAGCGCTACCATATATTCTTAAACTTAGCCCCACCTCACCGAACTGTCGGCACTGTTTGGTTAACTCGGTGGGCTTGGCAGCTGATATGTTCCTTGCTTACATTTCAAATGTTTCAAAAGTAAGGGATTGGGCACCTATTACGACGTGGGCGCATGCTCGGTATTTTACGGTGGCTTTGTCCCCTCGCGCGTGGCCACGCAGACGAGCGAAGTCAAGGACTCTGTGGACCAGACCTGGGTGGTGAGTGGACAGAGCCCCGACCAGCGCCAGCTGGTGAAGGACCAGCCAACCGACAAGCCGCTTCGTATAGAGGGACCATTCTCGACGTACCTCCGCAACGCAGCCATCTCCTACTTCGTCCTCAGGGCGGAACCCGTGCCCATCCGGGTACTGGAGATCGACTCTGACGGTGAGGCGGGGACTACTTTGTCTCCTAGTGGCTAAGCCACATTTTAACACCTATCGTAGAATACCTGGCAAGCGCCCACTCAAAATGTAGATATAATCACGAAAAAATGGGGGATGGGCGCTTGTCCGGTCATCAATTTTACGTATCAATGTACTGTGCATATTTTCTCAGATCTTGCAAATTTGGGAATGGGCACTTATACTCGCGGTCAGCTTTCTGTGGCAATGCAGTCAATGCTAGGGGAGAGGGTGCGCCAACCGCTGTAGACGCGCTTTCCTCCTCTCTTCGAATTGCCAGAGAAAGCTGACCGCGAGTATAGTGCAGAATGGGCGGATTCGCGGTATCTACGGTAAGCACAGAATATAAAAAAGGACAAGCACAAAGACAGATGTTTGTGTCTTTTCTCTCGTATGTTTTAAGCTTTCAATTTTTGGATTTTGGACCCACATCAGGCACCAGTGTGAGCCGTGGAATGACAGCTGCAAACTTCAGCGGCGCTCAGGCTCAAACTCTCTCCTTGTTACCTGCCATTGCGGGCCTCCCCTAAGCTATTTTTCTTCTTTTTCTTTTTTTTCCACAAAGTTGAAGCCGTCCTGCTTATTAAGGTTCTAAACTAGAAGGGGAGACAACTTTTGAGCTGGCAGCCAAACACCTAGAGCAGAAACGACACAGTCAAAATCTAATAATACTCTATCGCACCCAACAAGTGAAGTTATTCTGTTGAGATACCACCGAAACCTTTTATTGCTGATGAGCTGCATACTTGAGCAGTAAAATATGCAGAGACATACTGAAACTAGAAAGAGGATGAGCGTGAAGGCCTGTGATGTCGGAGGTTCTGAGTGTTCCTGGGAATCACTTGGGTCTGTTTCGCTTCCTTCTACAAACCTTATTTCAATCCACAAGTTTTTGGTGTGTCAGTGGTCATAAAATTTTCTGTTTTATGGAATGTATCATTTTCATTCATGAAGATGTGCCACAAACTTGCCAAGTTCTATGTCATAATTGAATGTGATTGAGGAAAAGAGTGAGAGAAGCCAGAGTTGCTGGTTTTTGACAGGCTGTTTTCTTGCAGAAAAACACCCGAGTGCTAAGTGTAGCTTCGTGTGAAACTTTGGCAAAAATACTTTCTTCTTGTTGCAGTATTAGGGTTCCACCTACAATATCGCCACCCTGAAGGCGGTATTTTGTGATTAATCACTAAGCAGTAAGCGTTGCATACAAAGGAAGCGTATAGAAATGAAGTTTTTTTTTTTCTTTGCAGACGTGTCGAATATTCCGCTGACGATGTTTGGAGAGAAGCCTCCGCCCAAGGAATTGGTGAAACCATCCACCGTCCACGAGCAAGAAGACGGTATCATCCTGGCCCTCTGCGCCACCGGAACATCGAGTCGAGACTCGCTGCTCTCGTGGCTACGAATGTTGCAGGAAGACAACGCGAAACTCAAGGAAATTCCTGTCATCTTCACACTAAGGGCGCCAAGTAAGTCGCTCGTCACCGCTAACCAGCCGATGGATGAAGATCTCGGCGCAGACGACACTTCACAAGCAGACGACACGTCAAAAGCAGACAACACGTCAAAAGCAGACGACGCATCAAAAGCAGACAGCGCCTCAAAAGCAGACGACACCTTAAAAGCAGACGATGCCTTGAAAGCTGGCAAAAGTTCAGGTGCAGACGGCCCTTCAAAAACCTCAGAAGCAGACGGGAGTTTAACAGAAAAGCGGAAATCGGACGAGACGGGGACATCGAAGTTGTGATGAAGGGCCCTTACTGGGAGTTATGTAGTGTATATAAGACAATAAATAATGCTAGGCTGTTTTCTCAATCTTATGTGGTGCAACTAATCCTTTCTTTTCATCTTGAATGAATAAATAAGGGGCCTTTTATTGCTCGTTTGCACCAAGGAACATTTGTTACGAGTGATTCATGATCCTGTTCTTGCATAAAAATAAACACACAATAACACAGGTGACAAGAGCTACAGTTCCAATTTCTAGGGTAATAGGGCCTTTGTAAAATTTCGTTATGGTGGCTAGTGGTGGTTTGTGCCAGTTGCACATGTGCTTAGTACTGTTCCTTTGGCATTAATTCTAATAACAGTTCTGCAACAAAATAAATTTTTTTCCTTTCAACACACCACTGACTGCACTAACGCCACACTCACCCACCTCATTTATCTTGGCACTCTTCTCACTTATCACACCATTCACTCGCAAACTCGCTTTGCTCACCGGCATGCTGCAGTCGTTCTTAATACAGTAAAACCTTGTTATAACAAAGTTGAAGGAGCGGTCGTGATTATTTCGTTATAACCATTAGTTTGTTATAGCCAATGTCCATTTCTTCCCACTATAAGCAAGCAAGGGGAATTATGATTGCTTTGTTATATCCATTAGTTTGTTATATCCCATTTTGTTATAACGAGGTTTTACTGTATTTGCTACCACCTTATGTATAGAAAAATGACTTGTCCAGTCCAATAATTAATTTGCATAGTTCAATTGATTCACAAAATATTCCAATGAATTAGTTTGAAATAGACGAGATTCCTTCATTGTTCAAGATAAAATGCAACTTGAAAGCACTGGGGATTGCGGTTTGATTTAATGAAAATTTGAGGTCTTTGGAGCGAGCCAATCTCCACAATTGCAAACAAACAATCCGTAAAAAAACTGATCCGATTTCTTGAAATGATACGCTTTCTACGAATTCGGAAAAGATGTCCGTAAAATAACGGATGAGTGAAGACGTAGCGTTTGTACATTTTATTCTGAGGAGAGACGTTATTGGGACACCCATCCATACATGAGCATGTAAGCACACATACAGACGGATACAATATCATGAAACCCCTGCTCTTTAGAGGAACCAACCTGGTAATAATTATGTACATTCACACACACAAAAAAAAAAACTGTTTAGTGATCCAGAAACTTGAAACAACCTGGAATTTTAACAGTGTCAGTAGCAAAGAATAACATGGTGTTAAAAACATTAAGTACTGGACCGAAAAAACACTTAGGTACATGCCGTTTAAACGATTGTTGCACACTTCGAGACGGATGCGTTGACAGCGTTACATCGACCACAAGATCAATGTGCAAACACGTAGCATAAAAAATAGAAATGCATTAGTCTAACAGGAACATTTGCAAAAAGTTGCGCTTTTCTGTCACGAGGCACAGGTTTTGGCACTTCCGGCTTAGGTGTAGCGTTAAGGCGCCGTACGTATAAGTTCTTAGGAAAACAAACAACCAAGGACAGTGCACACATGTGCGACTGTCTCCCTGGGGAGCATTAATTCATGTAAACATGCACACACGGACACACACAAGACTCGCACTGCGTAATGAAACCATGCTTCAAACAAACCTGAGACCACAAGCGTTGGAACCGCGCGATTCGTCTTCGCGACGTCGTAAACGAAACAAACGAAAAATGGGGACGTATCATGGTTACAGAATACTGAGCAAAAGTAGCACGTTACCGACACTGCCGCCTGCTTTTAGAAATGGGGCCAGGAGTGTTGTTTATTATATGTCGAGCTGAAAGTATACAAAAAACCCCACAAATGTAGGTTTATAGGTGTTGAGCCGCCCATTGTGTAAAACAAAAGTTCTTTAATGCAAAAAACTTTATTAGGCTGATGTGTTTAAAAGCACTGTGTCGAGAAACTGAATATTCTTATTTGTTTGAGGACTGCTTCGAGCAAAGATCTTGACGTCCGTACGAACATTTCTGGAATTATTCACGAAAAGTTCAAAAATTTATCTTGAGTGAAACAACAGCTTATAAAACTTTCGAAATTTTTTCAGACAAAGTTTTTTTCACTGCAAGCTTGACTGAAAAATATCTGAACTGTAACGAAGTCATTGGGCAAATGTTTTTCGGTCTGAAACTATTATACAGCCTAATTATAGTACTAATTTCTCCCCTTAGGTAGCGAATTAAGATACTTGTACGTGCATTCAAGACCAGTTATTTGTTAACTTTTAACAAAGCATGCACATTTCAAATGCAAGTCTTCCCTAATAGCCAGCTCTTGTAAGAACTACTTTACATGGCATATGAACTATGCACAAAGCACGCTTGAGGTGGCCACGAGAAAAGCAGTTACATGCAGTACACATGCAACATGTGCGAAACAAGAAACATTACGTTTCGCCACCGAAAACAGCATGACAAAGGGTGACAGTGACAATAAATATTCCGTCCTTTAACTGCGATATCAGCATCGATCAACGACACGGGATCGATTCGGACGAAGTCTCGACTGGACAGTCATTCACGCATTCCGAAACAACGCACTCTTCCGAGACGCACACTGGCACACACGGGAACGAACAAAAGAGAATGAGGAACATCTTTCCTTCCATGTTGGTTGAACGGACGCGTTTGTCCGCACACTGCTGCTTTGATCTGAGTCGTGCCGCAGCGACAGGAACCAGCGGCCATAAAAAAAAGAAGAAAATGAAAATGCGAGAGTAATACAAAAAAAACCTGAGTATTGCAAGTCCTCCGTCTAGTTTTCCGCAGAAGCGGCATGGCGTGCGATGCTTCGCTGGCGCTCTTTGTTACAACAACCCCATTATTTTGACACCTCTGTGGCATTGGCCACGCGTAGTGACGCGCCAAACACGGCAGTCCATTCAGCCATTATCACTTGGTGTTAGCTGTTATTGTGTTAAGGGCAGCCAACACACGCTCGCTCCGCCAACTTGATGCGCTCCAGAGTCAGCAGACGCACTTCGTCGTCTGCGGTCTGCTATCGTACTCCCCGTGCACGAGTTTCTGAGCGACGCTGGGAGCTTTCAGCAGAAGCTCAATGGCACTCGACGTTTGCCAACGTTGCCGAGGGCTGTCGCTAGTTTCGTTTAATCGCGTCAAGTAACAAGCGTCGTCAGCCTAGACAGAAACGTTAACGTCGGCTAGCGTTCGCAGACAGCGTCCGACGTTTTTCAGAAGTTTGGCAATGCCCGCAACAGCCGAGAAGAACGGCCTTGGCCGTCCTGCGTTGCGATTGGTCGACGGTTCGGAAGTTGACGCGAGTCTATATGTACAGCACGGAAAACGACGGCCGAGTCCGCAACGAACGCGCACTTGCGGCGAAGTCGGCTTGTGCAAGAGACGGCGGTTCAGATGTTGATTCCCGTGCCCGTGGCGTTGGGAGTCCCGACTGGCGTGGTGCCGGGGCTGGAAGACTTGAGTTCGAGGAACTGGTAAGGGACGTGGTGAGTCTGGCCCTTGTACTCGACGAGAAGATGGCCGCGCCGCGGCGAGGCGCCAACCACCATCACTGTCTCGCTCTTGGGCAGCTTGGTCTCTCCGGCGGCCTCTTCTGGAAGGAATGGCAACAGGGGGGTTCCAGTTCCCGGTAAATGGTTACGGAAGAAAACCTGTGTACAGAGTCTATCACTGTTAACCCTCCGAGTGGCAGGTATTTTTTCCTGCATGCCGAAAGCAAATTTTGGTGTCTCTTAACATTGCAGCATGCTTTGTAAAGAATATTTATCGAAGAGACACCTTTTTGTGGTCATAAAGTGAATTGATGTCTGCGTGCCTCCTACGGCAAATTTCTCATGTTGTACTTATTGAGGCACGGTAAAGCGCAGTGGTACCTTGGTACCTTGAATTTGCGCCCCTGAAGTCACCGTTTTGAGCGGCCTCGCTCAGCCTCTGTTTATTTGAAAGTATAACTTTCTTGTTTTCATAGTCGTCGAATACTGAGTTTCTAGATCTCGTATTCACCATGAAGCGTGAAGTTGGACAACATAGATCGACTGTTCTGTAACAACAGAGGAGCACACTGAAACAGAGGTTGCCTAAACAAAAAAAATTACATGCCATCAAATAGTGACACTACAAGATAAGACATTGTTTTCATTACTAGCTCATACATGCCGCTATGTGTAAAAAATATTACGGTCCAGGTGGGAGGGGCAGGGAGCAGACCGAAACAAACCGCACAAGAATGCGCCTGTAGAGATTTAATCGAAACTCCAGGATGCCACAAATTTTGTTTCAATTATCAGAACTTTGAATTATCTGAAATTCACCCAAACATGATACTAGATAAAACTATGATTGGTTATATCAATGGCTACACATACACAGCAGATATTTGATGATTTCCTCTACACAGGCCTACTAATCATAAACAGGTGTGCCACACATGAAACATTGGTGAAATGTGTCAGAAGTTTATTCATTCCTCAAAGCGTTGTCTTTCGTAGACTGTTTGGACAGCACGTGACATCTCAAAACAAAAGTTTGTTCATCTAGCAAAAAAAAATTATCTATGGTGGAATATTATCCCTGTTGAGCGCACTTCTTACCAAGCTCTGGCGCACTGCAGAGAAGCAACACCCGCTGAAGCAAGCTCCGTGGGTGTCGCTTCTCCGCCGTGCACCGGCGGCTTATAAATACGTCGAAAGTGTGGCGGGACAACCAAAACTTTGAGATCTGTTTGAATTGACTGGAAGCGCGAAATATCCGAGTTTGAGTTATCACGAGCGTACTGTATACTTTGGCATGGCACTCAAAGGGTTAAACCGGTTCTCAGCCTTGGTGTCGAGGGGCTTATCTCAGGCGGGCCCAAACCAAACCTTGTGTGGTTTCTCAACGAGAAAGTTGAGACTAAAGGCTGCTTGAAATATTTGCTTTCGAGCTTGAGCGAGTGTGTTGCACCCACTTGCGACCTGTGTGACGCTAGGCCTAGCGGCTTGCGGTACGTGCGTGATCAAATCTACGGGCTATTTACCTGAAATGGTCGCTTATAATAATGTCAGAATTATTCGAAGCACGCGGCAAAAGTATGATGCGTGAAATGCACGCAGATCAAAAGACGAAATAATGCACCGGCACCAATGGGTGGCGCTGGCATATTATTTCGTCACAAGCCGTCACGGGCAGTTGCAACGCGGTAGTTCACACTCAAATGCAAACGTGCGAACCAGTCGTGAAGTGAGGCGTCGGTCGTTGCTCAGCGACGAAGCGCGTACCTGGGTAGTTCATCTTCATCACCCGGGTCTGAGGGTAGCCGAGCTTGGTGTTACCACTGACGGTGTACGGACGGCTCGGTGGCACAGGAGGTGGCCTCTCCTGTAACGAGTTGGAACGTCCTCCGGCATATGACGTCGTTTACTCGAGCCACTGCACGACCGTACAGTGGTGTCATCTTGTCGTCGATACACAATATCTGATTACTAGACACCCTAACGGGATATTACCAAAATTTCAAAAAACCTAAGAACACCTAAATAAAGTTGTCCTTCAAAAAAAAAAAAAAATCTTTTTTTTTGCTGTTACGGGAAAAATGTTTTAATTTACAGCTTTTTTTATGTTGACCTGGAACACAATTCCCACTCTGGCTTTTGTAGTACTCATGACAAGTAATCAAAATACTTGTAATCATTTACCTCTTGGAGTCATTTCGTAATCATTTGATAGCTTGCAACCATTACATGTTCTCCTCACCTTTCTAATGCCAAGCTTCGTTTGTGCAAGCTTCCTTCTAAGAAGTCCTCGAACCAAGCCTCCGACAGGAGAATTGTTTACCAAACTTGGTGGGTTAAGTACATGACTAGTTTTTAATTCACTGATTATACAGGGTGTCTCGAATAGTGGCCAGACTCTTTAAATGGACCGCAAAAATCGATTTCTTAACCTGTCGCGCTACGATTTTGTGCAGCGTTGCCCACAGGTGGCTTAATTTTTCTATTAAATTTGCAAAGAGTGAACTTACCTGAGGAAAAAGTAAAAAAAGAAAAATGCTTAAATCCTATAGAAACACAGTGAAGCCACCGGTCTTTAAACAATAGGGCACCCTATTGTTTGATGACCGGTGGCTTTGCTGCGTTTCCATAGGAGTTAAGCATTTTTTTTTTATTACTTTTTCCTCAGGTAAGTTCACTCTTTGCAAATTTAATAGAAAAAATGTGCCACCTGTGGGCAACGCTGCACAAAATCGTAGCGCGATAGGTTAAGAAATCAATTTTTGCGGTCGATTTAGAAAGCCTGGCCGCTATTTGAAGCATCCTGTAATTCAATAATGGACAGTACGAAAGACCCTTCTTCAAACCGGCAGGAAAATCTGTAGCTTTGAAAATCGGAAGTAAGACAAAAAGTAACGGTTACTTTTCCAGGTAATGGCCGGTTACTTTTCTTGAGTAATCTAATTGAATACTTTTTGACCATGAGTAATTGTAATTGCAATCGATTACTTTTTACGAGCAATGCGTAGAAGTCTGCGGCCACTGAACTTTCTGCGAGGCTTCTTCTTTCTTCGGAGCTGCACCCATTGTCTTGTTTCTTTCCTCTTACAAGTATGATGCAGTTTCCAAGTATCTAGATCATGCATATGTTCCCTGGAAGTCAGGGAATCCCCATGCACATCCTATTTTCTTTAACGTAAGCCTCGATGAATTCCGTTTTTTGGGTCCGATGCCATATATTGACACCAAAAGAGGCTAAGAACCCTATTTACGATATAACGCGAAAGTGCTAATACATGATTAAACTAATGTTCTTTGACAACCCAGTTTTGTAGTGTAGTTACGTTTTAATCCTTATCGCTCGCAGTTATGGTGCATTTCAGCTTATGATGGAGCGCAATGGATGCCACGAGCCATCCCAGTCAATGAATTGTAAGGCACGTAGTCACATCACATGATCACCGTGTTAGATACTCTTTTACAGATTTTGAGCTGTATTACGACTGGAGTCTGTTCTAACCAATGAGACTGGCGAAATGTGAATGGATATTAGAAAGGAGCTGGTTTATTGAAACCTCTAAACTTTGGGCCGTAGAAGGCTCACGAGGCATTGAGCACGATAACAGCAGTTCGCAAGAGGGATGCCACCACTGCCAAACCAAAGCAGCGTAAGTATGAAATAATGACTGCTGTCAAAGAGTCCGCAATAATGGAATGATGAACGACTTACAAACTCTCCTATACAGTCCGTTGGATCCCAACGCACGCTATAACAGTATCTGTAGCAAGGGAAGTTGGCTCAGTGGCACAGATAGGAAGACCAACCAAGCTTCACAAGTCGGTACGTTACGATTTGGCACAGATCGTCTGCTGTAACCGGATCTGTTGCAACGGGTTTATACTGTATAGCCATGCTTTGATGGGGCTACGGTGAGGCTGCACTGACCAGGTCCAGCCCAAAGAGGGAGCAGGTTTGTTGAATGGTCTTGGTGTCGCAGCGCTCCATCTCCGGAGGTGGCGTGCCCGAGATGGGCTGCGGCCGTGGCCTTCCGGCCGCCTGGGCGCCCGCAGCGGCCGCCGGTGAAAGCAGCGCCTGCGATCTGCAGGGAAGAGGCACGTCAGTCACAAACACTTACACTGTGCCGCTACATATTTTTACTCCCCACCAACGAAGAACGCACCTTAATTTTGGTGCTAGTCAACCCTAAAACAACAGAGTCCTCTGGCAAAAAGATGGGTGTCATTTCTGTCGATCGGTTCAAACATATTCACAAGTGAAGGAAGAATGATTATAGGTAACGACGATTATGATAATGATAACAACGAAAAACGTCAGCATGCCTTTAGCGCCCTCCAATAAAAACAACCTTTATTTTAGTGCTAGTCAACTGTTAAAAAAACACTGAAGTGAAAAAAGATTTTTAAAGGGCGTAACTGGGACATGTTTGTTTTCATAATTTTTACACAATATGTTTTTTTGTGTGTGATATTTACATTACGACGCAATTCAGGCGCAGGTCACGGACCATTCTAAGCCAAGGAGAATAGAAGGGTAGGAGAGGGCATGACATCAGCCGCATAGCCTCCACAAGCCATGCTTCCTTGGCGCCTCGCCCCTTTCTCATTTTCCTCCTTACTCTCCTCACTTATCAGCCCAACATGACCACTTCACGTGACCGTAGCTAGCCTTCGATCTGATAAAACCTACCGGATGGAGCGCGCGCAAGCCTTCAAGGAATCCCTCTACAACCAACCATCCATCTCACACGTGACATGTCACGCGCATCAATCGCCAGAGAGATCTGCGGTCACGTTGGGCACAGTATCGTTTAAACTTTTTATGGCTAGGCTTCGCCAATATTGCAACGTGCCCCCTCCTAGTACTTATAACCTCCTTGTTCTAAGCCCTACTACTGGATTGGCCTGGCTGCTCGACAGAACATGTTCGAAAGCCTATTATCCCCATTTTCCTGACATCCGGTGCGTCTAGCTAGCTGGAAGGTAATGTTGTCTGGAAGTCTGACACTGCCTGCTAGTTGTGCGAGCAGGGGTGGCAGCCTCTGCCATCGTCTGCTATTCCACATCACCGTCTATCGGGGTCTCCCGTGCACAGACACCGACATGAAAACCATGCATCGGCGTCCGTTTTTGCAACGCTTGCAAAACGCGACCGTGAAAGAGGCGTTCTAGCATTCCATCGCGCACGAGCCACGGTCCAAAGCAAGCGTCTGTCGGTGTCTGTCAAAGTGCGGTAAAAGCGGCCGATGCACGGTTTTCAACTTCAAACTAAAGGTGCTTAGTTTTGTAAGCACCGGGCAGGGCCTAGAGCAGGGCTACCCCCACTAATATGCATCTAATCAAGTAAATATTGCTAAAAAAAAACTTCTTTTTTTGTGGAAAAGTTAAAAAAAAAATGTTAAACCCATTAAAGAGAACTTTTTTTTTCACTTCGGTATCCCTTTAAGGCTGACTCACACTCTAGCGACTGCTTACAACCGAGTTCCTAACAACCTCTTGTGATCTCTTTGAATGAGAGAATACACTGGCACCATCTATCGGGTAGTTGTGGAACACTTACGACTGCTAATTTTTTGTTTTTTGCAAATCATTCTTTTTTGGCTTAAAAAAAAACCTGACAATGTTATAAATGGCACTATATATCTGATCTTACAAATACTGCAAAACCCTCGCTGTAGTGTGCAGCTCCAGGGCCACCTCATAGATGGCACCAGCATGCCAATGTGTTCTCTCGTCCTAAGATATTGCAAGAACTCGGTTGTAAACAGATGCAAGTGTGTGAACTAGCCTTTAAACAGCAAGGTATTCCGAGCTGGTACATAATGAAAAAAAAAAGACAAAATAGCACTATAACAGATGAAGCGTACAATGAACTGTGAACAAATACAGGGTGCTGAGCACATACATAGCACCCTGTGTGTTTACTTTGCTCTTTGTGTCCTTTAGGCACGTGCGAATAGTGGATTCTGAGTTCGAAGCAAATAGTGGTTTTGTGCCGATTATTTTGGAATCTAACATCGAATAGTTTCTCCAACTCGTGAAAGTTGTTCCCAAGCATTCACTTGTCCACCTATAAGCTCAGTTAATTTTAGTATAACTATATTTATGAACTGTGGCATGTAAACATCAAATTTGTTGCAGCTATCCCAATCAAGGAGATTTATAAATCTGCTTGCTATATGGAAGTTTTCTTTTTCAATTTTAACCCGGGCAAAAAAAGTGCAAATGATGGATATTGGTTGTCTAGACAGCACTGCATAACATATGTTCTTCCATAATCGCGGCCGTTTAGCTACGTTGAGTGCGCTTCTCACCAAGCACCTGTGCAGTGCGGGGAAGCGATACCCGTGGAGCCCGCGAGTATTGCTTTTCCGCAGTGCACTGGTGCTCGGCAGGAAGTGCACTCAACGGGGCTCACCTGCTGCAATCAACTTCGAAGAATATGAATATGACAGTTCATCTCGGATTGAATATCGAATAGCGTATTATTCGAAACCAATATATGAAAATTCTAATATTCATACTACACAAGGTCCTCTGTCTTTTAGTGCTGTTCTGGCCTTTTTAATTCTAAAACTACAGAAAATCATCTAGCATAAGGACGGGTACCACGTCTGTCGATCAGCTCAAACATGCCCCCAAGTACAGCAGGGCATCACACCACTCAACCCACCTCATGCTGGCCACCCTGGTTCTTCCGTGAAGCTGCAGACTGCGGCGCAGGCTCGGCCAGCGGAGCCTCTGGTGCCATCCACGCCACACGGCCTGGATCAGCACAGCGGCCGCGTGACGACGACCCTCACGGAGCATCTCCAGCTGCTGGCGGCCGTTCTCGCTGCGAGCGGGGACGGACCTCTTGAAGCTCGTCTTCCAAAAAACTGCCTTTTGCTCTGGTTTTCTTACAAAGAGCCTACGGAACGTTTTTTTAACATAGAATGTGTTAAAGGGGCACTAAAGTGGTTTCTGAAATTATCCAGTTATGGTTATAACTCAACCTACGGGCTCCAAACATTCTAGAAAACCAAGACCATATCCATAGGTGTCCGATTTCCCTATTAAAAAATGAAAGACGTTTACAACTCCCTGCAATGCCGAATTAGAGTGCAGCTCTTTAGGAGGAGGAGGGGGGGTACGGAGGGGACGGTGTGCCCCTCCTCCTCGTCCTTCCTCCTCCACCCCCCCTCCTGCACGATGCATTATGGGAAACGTCCCATAATGCAATGCGTGCGTCATTACGGTGCATTATGGGACGTTTCCCACAATGCAGCAGACGGTTACACGAACACCGACGGCGACGCCAACGCCGCTCAAGCCGGAAACGGGTGCCTAAGAGCTGCGCTCTAAAATGGAATCAGAGATTGCGATATGCCCGTTTTTCTGGGATCCGGCACAGAAACCAGGGGGCACCATCGGACATGGGACAGCCAATTGCAGGTAGAGGTGTCATGTAAGAACCACCATTATCTTCCATAAATAGACAAGTCTACTTAATACACTGCTGTTGCTAAACCCTTGCCCTCAGACACTCCTCTTCAAGAGCCATCTCTAAATTTTGGCTTGCATCTTCTGTGAACAAGGTGGTAATTGTTATCTTATCTAGGACAAGTGGAGCTGTCAAAGGTTTCTTAAACAGTATATGCACTTACAAGATAAGGAATTTACACAACTGTTTACAGTCAGCACATCCGTTAAAACCAACCTGAGGAAGATGTGCCGCTTCCCAAGTGCCCAGTTCACTGCAGCGTTTGACAGCTTCACATTCTCGATGGCTTGGCTGAAGTACTCCAGAATAAGCTGGCAACAAGAGACAAGTTGGAAAATCAAGAGCTACAAAAGTCGGCCGCAGATGAAGTTAAGGCCCGTTCACACGGTTGCGACCTCTTAGAATCGAGTGCCTCCGAACCTCTTAATGTCTCCTACGACGAGAGGACACACTGGCGCCATCTATTGGGTAGCAGTGGAAAATTGGCGGTCCGGCATATTTTCTATTTTTCTCACGCATTACCCTTTCTTTCTTGGCTCAAAAAACTTTTGCCAACATTATAAACGAGCCTTTCTCATAGGTATTACGCACACTTGACCTCCGAAATCCCGTAAAGCTTTTGCTCTTGTGAAAAGCAGTTCCAGGGTCACCGCATAGATGGCGCCAGCGTGCCAGTGTGTTCTCTCGTCCTAAGAAATTTTAAGAGATTTCAAAAGGTCTCGTCTCTCTCGTTCGTACTCGGTTGCAAGAGTGTGAACGGGCCTTTAGCTGGAGTGTCGTGGCTAGCCCGACTAATTTCACTGTGTTTAATACACATTTAACTTTCTTGTTCTGTGTCGTCTCAACGACTTTGTTGCAGAATTGATGCACCGACTTTGCTCACCTTGCAATCTCCGACAGCCTTGTCCTCTGTTCTCTTGAGTGTGTTGAATGGTGCCAGGCACCGGTAGCGGACATTGAATGCCTTGAATCGCATTCGATGTGGAAGGCCTAGGAGATGAGAGAGAATGTGAGATGATTTTGAAGGGAATGAATTCTTGTCACCAGTGTGAATGGCAAAAAAGAATTTAGGCACGTGCAAATAGAGGATTTTCAGTTCGAAACGAATTCAAAGCAAATAGTAATTTCAGCCGAATATTTTTGAATCAAATAGTTGCATAATGGTCACATTTTATGTTTTAAAATTTTGCTGTAGTTTAGATATCAACATTCACAAATTTAACGTTTATTTTTGAATACACCAGACGTGCGCGTGTACCATCCCGTTTTAAAAGTGCTTTCATTTTAAGCGCACGATTGCAATACTTGCACTTTTTGAAATATGTATTGATCGCCACAGGTTTGCCTCGTTGAGTGCACTTCTTGCCGAGCACCGGTGCGCTGTGGAGAAGCAACACCCGGGGAAGCGAGTTAAGTGGGTGTTGCTTTTCCGCAGTGCACCGGTGCTCGGTAAGAAGCGCACTCAATGCTTTGAAAAACATGAATATCATAGTTTATCTCGAAGCGAACACCGAATAATGTATTATTCGAAAATTCAAATATACCCACAAGCCTAGTATGTACTCTTTCATCGAAAGACGGCACTATAGGGACTGCTAGTCACCCTACGACTTTTTTGTGCTTCATACTCTGTTTCAGCCTTTGTGTACATCACTGTCAAAAATTCCGGTGTGAGCCCGAATGCATAGCCTGGTGTTTGATTTGTGCCCATTCTTGCACATTTGAGCTAGATGAAGCAACATGCTCGTGCGAGTAGCTTTGGCAGCGTTGTACACCGAGTATGAAACGAAGTATAATACTAGAGCTGACACCTTCAATAATGCCATATAAAGGGCATTCCCAATGTTAATTCCTACCCTAGTGAATCACCTCCTGGTGATTGAAACAGATTCTGCTTTCGAAGGTACTAGCTTCAGTAATGATTTCGATAATCTTCCCCAATGTCTATAATACAATACTATCTACACTATAATGCTATAGAAGAGCTATAGCCTATAATACTCTTGCTCCACAAATAATAGATGAAGGAGCAATGGTGTCAGTGCTTGTAAACACATATGGGAAAATGATAGTATACCTCCTGCCATGAGGTTGACTGTCTCCAAGACCTGCAGTGCCCTGAGCTGCTTCATGACTACTGTCCTCTCAAAGTGGCCTGGCTGCTCATGCTTGTTTGCCTGTATGAAAAGGGAAGGAAATTGGTTTACTAAGTAATTGTGTAGTACCGTATGAGGAATTCTAGTTATTTTTTTAATTTAACTGTTGCCACATGCTAAGGGATTGGCGTGGCGTTTACTTGAGTTGTTTAAGGGGCACTGCAACGAAATTCGATCGCCTGTTTTATTGTCTAGATGTCAACTATGTTCTCTCCACACCACAGAGACACCAAAACATTATTTGAAGCGAAATAAACCGAACACCAGATTGCACCTGGTGGGTGTCGCCAAAGCTACTTCGAATGTCGTTACATTCCTCTTCCAATTAAAGCTCTGCTGGCATTTCCGAACCAGTCATTGGGCACCTTGAACGTCCAGGCTGTAACACGCTGACGCCCCCAAGTAACAAAGCTCACAGCCATGCCAGCCTTCCTGTAGCCTTGCCCATGAAGGGAAATGGGACGTCACGAACGCGGTGGAGGTGTCGGATTTACCGACACACATTGTGCTCTCTGATGGCTACTCTTTGAGCGCTCGCTGGAATCGGCCATTCGGAACAAAAAATAAAGCCATCCGTTCAAAATAAAAATGTGCGATTGTCATTAACAGATTTTGTTAATCGTGTTTAATTTATTTTTGAACGTAAGAGGTTTCATTTTTAGTTTAAGGCTAGAGCCATTACGTTATATAGATGGATCACACTATGAGATTTATGACAAGGAAGGTGAAAGTGTGAACAATAAGATGAGATGTTTGGAAATCAGTGGCTTGATATTTTGGATTCAAGCCTACATAAAAGAAGAAACATAGTTTACACCTCCTAATTTATAAGGTGGAAAATTATGTTTCACACCTTGGAGTGTTGAAGATGAAAATTATGTTTTAGACCTTTCACACTTAAAAACAAGTACAATCAAATTTGTTGAATGCAGGACATTGCTATAAAGTGAAAGAATGCTCCATAATTCATAACCTCTAGATCGAACCTGTAGGTTTTAAACATATGACCCCATCCACTCCAGCCACGTGACTATAGTCACTGACATTTGAAGGGGACATGCGCCAGGGAAATATTTTTGATTCTTTTAAATGAAATTTTTACAGTTTATTGTGATTGAGTTTCTCTTTATAAATCTGATGTTATATAGGTTGTTCTTTAATGTTCTGAATGCCATGCACATGCAGGAACAAATATTCTTACACACACATGGGGTATGGCGACACACTTAAAAGAGCCTAGTAAAATAAACTAATTCGCTCCATTTAAATCAAAGTGCAATAAACAACACAAAAAATCTGTGCAAATTAAAAATCACAAAAGCATTATTTTTAAAGCGCTAACAAAAGTTTCTGAAAATTTTCATAAATATAAATTTGTTTCTGATCGGACAATATTAAGAACAAATATTCTCGTGCACAAACAGTAATATAATAAAATGCCAAAACACCAATCCCAAAAAATAAAATGAAATTTTTTTTAAGCTGACGGTGACCATAGAGTAAAACATACCTTGATGCAGCGCACAAAGTGTGGCTTGGCGTGCACCAGGGTCCGCAGCAGATTGTCCAGCCGTGTATGGAAGTCTTGGGTGAGCGTGGACACTGGCTCGTCACCACTTTGCCTGGAAGAGAAAAAAAAGTGTGTGCTATTCAATAAGCTACTGTGATTAAACGCAATAACATCTCTAGGGATACGAAACCTCGCGAGAATGTACGTTCGTCCATTGCGGATTGTTAGCAAGATTTAGTGGAAAGAGTTGCATTGTTGTAAAATTATATATGCCGATTCGATTTCCCCACTAAATTTAGTGGGAATCTTGACTTGGTGCACAATTATATGAAAATTTAATCTGGGAAGAAGAGGCATAAACACGGTGCTGCACTAAGGTGGACTGAGAGTGCTGAGCTTGATGGACGTTTGAAGAGGACATTGCGACCTCCTCACGCAGCAGTCAAAGAGAAGGCATAGTTTCTTTTAACTTGCATAAGACACATAAATCTTCCAAGCTCTTCAACACTCGTGCAGGTGTTTTACTTTAGACTTAGACTTCCAACTTGAAGGGTACCTCCCATAAACCAGCGAGTTGCAGACAGTCTTTTCTGCTAAACCTCGTAGTGAAACACTGACTGTCATTTTGTGACTTCCAGGAGGTTCCTGTTCAAAAGTTCTTCCTAACAGTTTTGACTACCTTCATTTCTTGTTCATAGGTTAAATTCAACAAATATGATCATATAATAGATGAGAACTTTCAATAGGAGGTCCCAATACCTGGGAAATATTGATGCATTGAATGGCTCACAATGCTTGAGGGAGTTTGAGCTTTCCTAGAAAGGGTACACAGTCGTATGCTTTGTTTACATTTCATGGTTCAAAAGCTTGATTTGAGTTCGAGTGAACTCGTAAGCCTTTTTTCTACTAAAAAAAGCCACCTAAAAAAGGAACACCAACTCACAGTTCTGTGTGCGCTGTTGGAGAAACCCTGAAGGACACGCCTCGAGGTGCGATGCCTGCGTGAGATATACGGCATTAATGTTAACAGAGTACAATGTGCTTTCATTGTGCAGTAATCATAATAGCCAAATGGCTGAGATAATGATTTGCTCGCTAGCAGTGCACAGCCACGTACTGTATAGGACACATAATCCCCCCCCCCCCCCCCCCCCGGAAAAATTAAAAACTTGCCGACCGTATTTTTTTTCAAGGTTGAAGACGGTGAGTTTGTGATTTATCTTTCTGGGACTTCACTGTAACAACAGAAATAAATAGAATCTGTCTTGGATTAAGCATAGCCATAAGTAGGGTTCGGAGTTTTCGGTTTAAACCGATAAACACCGATAAAAGTACGCCGAATCATTTTTCGGAAATTCGGTTTTAACCGAAAAAGGTCAGTTTGTAGGTTCGGCGTTTTCGGTTTAAACCGATAAAAGTACGTCTAATTCGTTTTCTAGAATTCGGTTTTAACCGAAAAAGTTAAGTTTTTTAGGGCCGCGCTGAGGTGGTTGGGGAGGGAGAGAGAGAGAGAGCTTTGCGAGGTTCGACATTATGTGACGTCTTCGTGATTGCCCTCTTCCAAGGTTCAACATGCAACAAAAGAGGTCTTGGATTGGCCTTCGTCGGACATCTGTGTCTTTTCTGTGATCGGGCTTAGTGTGTCAAATTTCCGGTCCCGAAAAAAAAAAAGGTTCGTATGTGGGCTAGTTTAAGGTTTTCCGCTTCATGCACTTCAAAGGACATCGAGGAAAGCCGTCAATACCTTTCTTAACACGCTCTCTCAAACTTCCCTGTTGTTAAAAACATAAACACGATGGATTTTTTTTTTTTTTTGACATTCCGCTGGTTTTTGTACGGTCATCACCTCAGACGGTCACGTCGTCAGAATGGGAAGGAAAAATAAGCGCACTGAAGATTATGCCCGTGAATTCCGGAATTTTGAGGTGTGTCCTGACGGAAGTTGTAGCGAGGTCTACGTATGTGTGTGTCGTTATTCTTTGAGTGATTGCAAATATCGCAGCTACAAGGGCCGATGGTGCTTCTTGTATATTCACCGAAAGAAACCGGTAAACTGTTTTGGGAATAAATATACGCCGAAAAAAACCAAAAATTGAATTTTAAAATAAGCACCGAAAAAAGTACGCCGAATTTCGAAAAAATAAAAACCGAAAACGCGGAACCCTAGCCATAAGCAAGCATAATGAAATGAAGGGTAAGTGCTTTAATTGCAATCTCTTGTTTGCCTATTCTTTCTGAGGCACTAGAATCAAGTTACACCATTGCACTGCTATGCAAGCACATGTCACTGACGACCTGCACCCTAAAGCTTGCTTCACGGCATGGAGAGCTGCGAGGTGGGGAAACCGTTTGGTTGAAAACTCATCCTAAAAGGGGCCCTGCAATTCTATTTAAGCGTCTACCTTCTTTTGCGGTTTCTACATCTCTTGTGGCAATTCAGCGGGCACAGAGAGAGTCACTAAATATCAGTATGTCATATTTTAACCGAATGACGCGGAAACCTCCTTCTCCTACGGGGGTGCCCCGTGGTGCTGAACGTGCGCGGCATGTGACGAATTCGTGACGTCGTCGGTCGCGGTCAGCTCCAGCCTTCCGACTGGTCAGAGTCGCTAAAAGCTTTTTTAGTCAAAATATAAAATAAAAGTGGCGCAAACCGTTTCAGTTATGTATGAAAGTAGTTTTTGTTCAGTATTTTAAAACAGAAAAAATAAAAAAAAACAAGTGCAGTTTAGAAAGTACAGAAACAAGAACCAACATGCAATGGCCCGTCGGCAAATCCGTAACCAAGCGGTAGGAGAGGCGGCGCAAGCCGGCGGCGGCGCCCCCGTGGATCCTAGCAGACGAAGCACGACGCCGGCGGCCATACTTTGCAAGACGCGAAAGTATGAATTCGTCTCCTGTGGTCTCGCTCTACAGGAGACCCACCCGCAACTTGCCCGGAACTTGAGCATCGTCGAGCTGGGGCCGAGAGGCTTCACCAGCGTGCTCTGGACGCTTACGAGGAGTGTCCTCGTACGGTACTACTCCCCAGACCTGGTAAATTCATGCCGGCAGGTGCGGTGGGGGGGCTGAAGCAAGCAACAAGCTGATGACGCGCATGCGGCTTCAGGGGAAGCGGCCATTAACGTAAGCTGCAGCCGATTGGCCAGTTGCTTCGCTTCTACCATTGGCCACCCAAGTCAGGACCAGGGACGTCATGAAGGAGGTTATTTTCTACCTGTTTTTGTCATTTTAATTTGCCTATTATTTTTTGAAATAAAGTGAATTTCGAGAAAACAGAAGTTTCACTAAGTTACTATGTTTAGTGCACTCAGGTTTGGTGCAAATTAAAAACCAGTCAAAAAGCCGTTGCAGGGCCCCTAGCACACATCACCATGTGTCACAGCTGTAAGATGGGGAAGCTATCTGCTAAAGAACCTGCTCTATCGGACTAACTTCACTGCTCAGTGTGGCTGCACTGCTGGAAACCTGCCCTTTCTAAGGCTTGTAATCACCATATACATCCGTGACACATTAAAGCGACATCCCTGCTATTGTAATGAGTTGGGTTGTCAATGTGCACTTGCCATCAGCGAAAAGTGCTTTGAGCTCGCTCCCAAAAAGGTGCGTGGCAAAGCCAAAGGAGCAGCTGGTCTTGTGGAAGACAGCCACCACGTCGTCTGGCACCACGTCTCGGTTGGTCTCGAGGAAACCCGATGCCTCGTACGTCACGTTGCCCGCGTAGTGACGGATGCCAAACGCCCGGCCCTCTGCAGACTTGGCCTCGAAGAACCTTCGGAGAGAACACGACAATAAAAAACATAAAACTAAGTTCGTACTGCTTATAGATCCTCTGTGATGTCACATGACGCCATGGTGTCGCATGACATCATAGTGGCACGTGACGACCGTCACGCTAGCGATGTAACGTGAACACTGTGTTCCCACGACATCAAGGTGAACATCTCAGAAAGCTAATGACACCATGTGAACACTGATGTCATTAGCCTGACATCATTTTTTAGGCCACATGCCACTGACATAAAAGCACTAAGAGCTGGCCTTGTAAATGTTGTGCATTTAGAAACCTCTTCAATGGTCACACTGCTGTCGCACTACTGCACGTTGTATGTTAGAGTAACAGTAATTAATTTGGTACAGGTAGGTTCATCACCCTGATGTTCCTCAGGAGTGCAGGGTCTATATAGTTCCATGATTGACCTCAGATAGTGATGATCTGAGCCATTTTCTTTGGGGTCTTTTTGATACACTTTGTTGCTCTTTCATAGACACCCAATCGAGAAAGAGTATGCAGGGTGCCATACAGACAAATCGGAAATGAGTTCTGGGCACGGAAACTTTGGGGATTGTTGGTTGGTAGCCGTGCTTCCAGAGCCAAGTCAAGACAAGACAGAAACCCACCTGGGACTAGTCTTGTGCTGCAGACGAACCTTCTGGACGTACGACTCGGGTGTTCCTCGGAGGGAACACTCCACGTCCACCATGCTCAGCAGGCCCGTCCTCTGTGGTAACGAAGAAGGGTAAATACGGACAAGTTAAGAAAGAGTACTCAATTCATGGCGAGTGCTTAAAGTTCGGACTGGAACTGTATCACATGTATTCCTAAGTTAATTTAAGGCCAATCTGCACTGTGCAATTTTGTTTTGGAAAGACAGGCATGCGACGTGGTAGAGGAATCATCAACCATCATCGTTGGCAATGAGAAAAAGGTGTGACAGCATCGTCAGACATGTGTTTTATCAACATGGCACACCACATGAAACACCTTTTCAACTCCCCTTGTGTGAATACGCAATATTTCAGAATACTGATTCAAATACCAATGTATTTGTAATGTTAAAATTAGAGCCGTGCTTACATCAAAAACATTGCTAATTCGGGAATAGTGTTTGCCATTGGATTCGTTTTGCAGCACACTTTTACTGTTCCAAGTATTCAAGTTTTTCCAATATTAAAAAATAACGAACAATTTCTTCAAAAATTCTCCAGTTTCTCCCGTCAAGCTTCACCATTTGGTAGTGGCGCGTGCATGTCAAGCTTCACTGCCATTCTTTGGTGTGCTAGGAGAAACGGATGACGTGGCAAAGTGTCTCGATCGGTTGGCTCGATGGTCTCAGAATTTTGCTCACTATTGTAGGTCAGACTCTTAGGTGTTGAAGTATAATTATTTGTAAAAAAGTGATTTGGTTATAATTATAGTACATCGACACCTAATTTAAAAAAAAAAAGCTAAAAAAAAAAGTGGGCCGGTCCTGAAGGCAGTGCAATACTGGTTCAAACCGTGAAAAAGGTAAAGCAAGTTTGAGCACTTTGCAGCATTCCAAAAATGGGATTAATATCCTGGGTCCAAATAGAACCTGCATCAAATATAAGCTGATCAGAAGATTTTGACTATTTCAAATAAAGAATGTAGTCATTACGTTGCTTGCTATGTTACATTATGTGTTACATACCCAACTGCTATGCCTTTCTCTCCAAGTACAGACAAAACATTTTCATTGTGCTAACTTACAACGCAAGCAAAAAAAGAAAAAAAGAAATAAAAAAAATCAGAATGAATTATATCAAAATTTGACAGATATTTTGCCGATAAATTTAGTCGTGAAATTGTTACGTCACGTGGCATTATGAAGTAATGTGACACTGTGGCGTTACATGGCACCATGACGTCACTGACACCACGACATCCCGTTATATTGCGACGTCATGCGCTGGGACCAACAAGAAAAATTGTCCACGGAGGATTCCCATATGAAGTTTATAGCTTTAAAATGCACCACTTCAAAACGGAAAAAACTGAGGACTTGTCTGACGCACCAGCGAAGAGATGAGGTCGATGCAGGGCACGTTGTCGGCGTACTCGATCTCGAGGTCGGACAAGACCCCCTCCTCCCGGCACGCCTCCATGCTGCTCTTGAACACGTGAGTGTTGTAGAAGTGCTGCATCGTCTCCGCGCACAGGTTGATGCACAGGTGCTCCAGCTGGCTCAGCTGCGAGTCGTTTCACATGGGGGAGAGATCACTATTCGCACAGTCACTGGCAGAATGAAAACGGCAGGGCGAGTCTCTTTTGAATGCCCAAAGGCCCCCAGCATGCGCTCATTGCCTTCGGTGGTGCTTTTGTTGCACATGCTCACACAAGGCTCACGAGACGCAGAAGTGTGATCGACGGCAGCAAGCTCGTGCTAGAGGCGGGACAACTGAAAAACCTTCCTGTCGTTCACATCCTAACAGTGACCGTAGATATGCACGAATTATTGGCGGAAATTGCCTCGAAATTCAAGCATCGTACGTAAAAATATGAATACAAAAGCAAGCAGGTTCAAGTTCAGTTTTGCTGCAAAACATGTGCCGCAGGCTGCCCTCACCTTGACGTCCTCGAACCCGAACATGTCGAGGATGCCAATGAACCCGTCAGTGGCGTGGCGCACGGCAGAATTGAGCACCGTCATCGACTTGGAAGATTTGGCGCCACTGGAGCCAATGGTCGACGCATGTTGGCTTCCAGTGTCTGCAAAAATAATAATAAAAAAAAAATGAGAACGAAAGTAGCGTTGTGCCTTGTTCAAGTCATTTTTCTCGTTCCTCTGTCCTTCCCTCTTCGGTTTCGACTTATATACCCTTATTTCCGATAGAGTTAATGTGGCAAATAAATACTTGCAAGACTACTTTGATTCGGTCAGTTCTTTTTTAACTCGTTGCGAATAGAGTTGGCGTTATGAGCTTCCACTTCATTCAAAATGCCATAGAATAGGCAGTACATCGTCTCTATAAATTATGATTTATATTTGTTCTTAGAAAGTTTTCCCTTGTTGCAATCGTTACAAGAATCATAATTTATTTTCCTTTGGGGCTCACGTGGGTCTGACACAATATTTATTTATAGCAATTAAGTACCCTGCGCAACACTGTTAGCGCGAGCATGACTTCGGCGCTTTTAAGAATTTTACTTCTAAAGGGTACTGGTGGGCATCAAAGTTTATCAGTTAGATAAGTACCCCAAATGGGCATTTTCCAACCTGCAGTAGTTTTGATGACAGTTCTTTAATACTGGGAGAATAACAGAAAAAAAAACGGCGATGACTTGTTAGCGCAAACAGTGTCGCAAATTATTATTACACTTAAAAACAGATGAGGTAAAAAAAAAAAAAAACAGAACCTGGGAAATTGTAACAGCCTTAGGAGAGAGAGGAAGCATGCAATGCTCCCACAACAGTTTATTTCACGTGGAATTTCCCGACTGTGGAGAACTACCATTCTTATCAAAATATAGAATGGTGATTCTTTTTCTTTCTTGGAATCATTGTTTAAATAACCACTTTATCTAGAATCGCAACAAAAGTACGGCAAACTACAAGAATGATAAAAACATTCCGAGCTTTTCCATTCAGCAAATGCAGACCCTCCCCCGCGTCAGCCGATGTACACAGCACACAGGTGAAAAATAAACCTATTATTGGAAAATAAACCTATTATTATTAAAAGCGATGAAGTTCGATGCATTGGTACCGGATGTGGGCTGCACGCACTGCGCGATGGCGAATTTCCATCTTCACGCGAAAGGAAAGTAGGGGGAGCCAGACGGCCTAATGCAGTGGAGAAACAGATGGATTGATGAAAGGTTGATTGCGAAAGTCTCAATCCCTTTAAAGCACAAGACAAAAGCATAGCGCAAAAAAGAAAGAAAAGCTCAGAGAGGTGAAAAAGAGAGGGGGCAAAGCAACACAATGAGGGAGTTTCTGGCCAGGCGGCCTATATGCCTTGTGTTGGCCGTGTCAAGTGGCAGTTTTTGGATGTAGGAACCAAGACGACAAACCCAATGGAAAGGAAATTGATACACACATCCCCATAATAGTTACACGGGATCGACGATCGTGAACGCGTAACGACCGGGAAAACATACCCATGAAGTTCTACGTCGGGTTTAAAACAGATGCATGATGATGATGACGATGGTGATAGCTGCGCTCCTTACCTGTGTGATTGTGAACCGACTCGTTGGAGTCTGAGCTGAGGGTCCCTGAGGTGGACCCCATGCGCTTGAGACTGTTGGCTCGCCGTACAATGGTGGCCACCGTCCGGCAGTACAGGGCCTTGGCCAGGGCGTCCCTCACTTGACTTGCCTGAGGAAATCGGGGCGAAAAAGAAAAATGCTCTGGTATCTTTGCCTAGTCGCTAGGGCTTTGAACAGAAACTGACTCTGCTACATTAATCCCCACGACAACATTCTAGAAGCTTGCAATGAACATGCCATTATTTATAGCCTGTTACAAAGTAAGAACAGTGGGAGAGACCTTGCTTATAAAAAATATCCTCTCTGCTGAATGCCTAATGCATGGATGCGAATTGAGCATACGGACAATTCACTTTCGCGCAGGGCTTTGTGCTCATACGCGTCAATTTTGAAAAAGGGTGCTGGTTCGTAATGCGTGGCGTTGCGATGCAATTTGACTATGGGAATCCCGAGGCAGAGGCTCTCCTGTACTGTTGGCACTGCAATAAGTTGCAGCATAAGAAGGTAGAGAGAGTCCCCCGCCACAAAGCTCCATTTGCCATTGTAAGCAGTTTCCACCTCTCCACTCGATTACTCTTCATCCCAGATTCCCAGATGGTCAGGCCACAGTGCTGAATTTTTTATGTTGCCTGCCAGAGGCCAGTGCGGTGTACAGATAGGATATAAATGCTGAGTCAGCGTTCGGCTGGAATTAACTAACATAAAAATCCACCACTAAGTCATTGTTATCAATACCTTGCTGCAAGTTCAGTAACGCAGGACAAGGATCCTCCCGCAAAGCCCTCCACTCTAAGGAGCGAAAGTTGGAGAGGAGGTGGGTGGACCCCACCTTCCTTTTTCACTTCCTCTTCAGAGCTCGCCCGTTAAAGTGGAAAAAGTGGAGGGCCTTGTTTGGTGAGCTTGTCCTGCAATCCCTAACCTACAAAAGACTACAACGACTCATGCAGCATGCTCTCAGGAGTGGACGGTGGGTTACTTCTGGACACCAATCTATTTAGCATGGTATGTCCTAGAACAGGGGTGACCAGAGTGACATGGGGTTAGAGCTGCAGACCGAACTACAAAAGATCAGGGAGCGGCAGGGGAAAAAAAAGGGGGGGGGGTTACTTTCAACAAGAAACAATATGGAGGGTACAGTCCTTTCCAAGAGGGACAAGTATAATTTTCGACTACAACAAAATCTCCAGGCAGTAGAACGTTTCTTCAACCGCTAAGCAAAAATGAATACATGGCTCGCTAGCCAGCCACTGCCTCTGATACCCGTTTGCATATATGGTTAAAAATTCTTCCAAAAACAATAAAGGAAAGAGGGTCACTAGATGCGTCTGCGTCAAGATACAGTCCAGCTGTGTATATGTAGTGTAGTAGAAGGTTGCCAAGACTCTGAGTTTTTTTAAAACTTTTTCAGACACCATATCCTTCAGACACCATATCCTTCAGACACCATACCAGAACATATGGCAGCTTTTCTGGCCCTTCAGGCCATACACAGAACATATGTCGGCCTTTCTGGCCCTTCAGGCACCAGAGCCAGACCATATGGCAGCCTCTCTGGCCCTTCAGGCCATATCCAGACGATATGGCAGCCTTTCTAGCCCCTCAGGCACTGGCAAACAGGGTGCAACAGGTCGTACCAGGCCGGCGTCAGAGGCAGACTTGACCAGCTGTCCCCTGACGGTGCGCGTGCGGGCCGCCAGTCCCTGGAAGAGGGCCACGCTGGAGACGCCGAGAAGGGCGGCCACGGACTTGATCTCGGAGCCCCCCTTGAGGTCCACCTCAGAGGCCCCGCCCCCTCGGTCCACGAACTGAACGTTGCCTAGCAGAAGGACCGCCGCCAGCACGCGGACCACGTCCAGGAACGGGATGCCCAGCACCGACAGGCAGGACTGCGGGGGTGTTTGGGAGTGAGGAGACCGCTCTTGTGGGTGAACCTCGAGTTGGAAGCGCTTCAGAGCGACCGTGTAAAGCGAGACTCAACAAGTTAGAGGGATAAAAAGAAAGCGACATAAAGAAAGTCAGGACAAAACATATTGTCTTGATCCCCATCCTTTATGTTGCTTTCCCTTTATCTTTGTAACTTATCAGCACGCTCCAATTTGTGGAGTCAACAAGTTAGACTTGACAAGCTGACTGAAAACCGACACAGTACACACTTCAGTACCATCAAAGCCTCCCGCTCAGATGTTTAAAAAAAATGCAAAGTAACAAATACGTTAGAGGAAGCGAAAAACGCGCATCTTTGCACAAGCAATCTTCTCCTCCGTGGCCGGGGTGCATAACGCACGTGCGACAAACTTCCCTCTCCTACGAGGGAGGTGAAGCGGTAGCTGTGCAATTCGGCCACGGGGGGGCAAGACCGCTGGTGCAAAGATGCGCTTCGATAGGAAACCCAGACCTAGAAACCTGTCGAAATTGAGCGTTTTCATGGAACGATATAAAATGCTGTACGCACCTTTTCAAATATAGGTTAATTTAGTGGTTTTCGATGATCCTCAGCAAGTTTATAATTAAAACCCTACCTACAAATTCATTAATTAGAAAGTTAATTACTGTAAAGTAATGAATAAATTAATTATACCGAACATTATTTATTTCCCAAAATAGACTCTTTGGCAGAAACCAATACGATGTTAACCATTTTTTTTCTGCGATACATACTTTTAGCAGGAACGATTTGGCTCATGCTTTGAGAAAGACCCTGTATCCTATTTATAGTATACATAGTGTTTCACCAACTAGAATTCGATTATAATTAGGATTCCGTGTTTACAGAGTTTACTTCTCTTGAAACTCGGAGGGTGTTCTTAAGAGTTTATTTTTCGCTGAAATTTTAGGGACTATCTGAGTTTATTTTTGTTAGATTCCCCATTCTCTGAAATCCTGATTTGATTTTACTGTGTTGCCAATTATTAAAAATTCAATAAAACAAAATAAGTAAAGTCCGGGTATCACGACCCGCTGTCCTGAAGGAACCTTGACGGGCTAAAAGGCAAACCCCCTTTTGTCAGTAGTTCGAGATTGCAAAGGAGACTGAAGTTGCATCTCATCAGGGCCACTTACCTTATGCTCTTATAAAGTTTCTTTGTAGAACAGTACTTTCTTTTTATTAGTCGTTGTAACCTTGAAATCCTGAGTTTTTCGAATTCCCCTCCAAGCCGTCGAGCCATCCTTGTCCCAATGAAATTTAACAACAACAACAAATTTACTGGCAAGTGTTTTTCGGATTTTTTTTCGGATTTATCCGACAACACTAAACTTTAATTATAACAGAAGTCTGCACCCCGAAATCAATCTCTGAAAAAAGGGCCGTGCCCAGAAGACAACATAACAAGTGTGGACTATATGATTCATATATCCTTTGCATACTGCTAAGCAAAAATAATGTAACCTCCTAAGTTATCCGTCGATTCCCTCTATGAGCCACATTACACGAGGAATGCGAAGTGATAGCATAGCGATGAAGCGGAGGGGGCTCACTTTCCAGGCCTCGAAGCGTGTGGCGTCCTGCGCCTCGTTCTGGGCCACGTCTCCACGGTTCAGGTACCGCAGGTTCTGCACCGAGTACCCGTCCAGGTGCAGTTTCCCTGCAGCGAACGGGGATACCCTCCCTCAAAACAGGGGCTATCTAGCTGAAGCCACACTCTGACAGGAAGGCCGGTGCATCATGCTTGGGTAGCAATCCAATTACAGCAATTAAACTATCGTACCCAGGGGTGAAGCCTGTCATTCTTCCCATGAAAGAATAGGGAATGAAAGATGGATGGGGGAAGGGTGGATGGGTCAGGGTCGGGGCAGGAGGCCGAGGCCAGTCCCAAAGTGAGTTGTTAGGGGCACCGCCACCTTTGCGATTTCCACTCCACTCCGCATATTCAGGTCTTATAGGTAAATTTTTTTTGTTATTATTATTATTTTTTTTTTGTGGGGGGCGGGGGGGGGGGGAGAAAGATGGGGAGGGGGTAAAGTTGGTTTGAACCTTGAAGGACTTTTGTTGAGAAGTTCAAAGTTCGAGAAACTTTCGAACTTCGCAGATTTGGAAGTTTCAAAGTCGTTGAATTCATCAGCGTGAGATGATAAGGTCGAAGGTTCACAATTTTCCGACCTCCTTAGCACAACGAATTCAAAAGTCTAAAGCAGTGGTCGGCAACCTTTTGGCGAAGCGGGCCGAGTCGCGGCGAAGCCTAGTGGGCCGGACGGCAAGTAGCGGGGGGGGGGGGGAGTTAAGGTTAAAAAAAAGCACTTGCACGAACTTACATTGACGTACATAAATTGAAAATGAACAGTTTCTTTATTTCACGACAAACAACATGAGATACGACATATACCCGAAAACGCAGAGACTCCTCTCAGTGAGACTTTTGGTGTTGAACTGCGCTCGCCAAACTACGAACATCCACATTCAAGCTGCTAACTGCGGGTCGCAAAACATTGTGGGGGTTCTCGTCAGTCATTCGTGAGCGGAAGTTGGATTTTATGCACTTCATTCGTGAAAAAGTCTGCTCGCAGACGGGCAGTAGTCAACTTTATTTTTTTTTTCTTTAGCTGAATGCGTAGGGGGGAGGGGGGGGGGGGAGTTACCGGGAGGCTGAGGGCCGTATGATACTACCTCGCGGGCCGGATCCGGCCCGCGGGCCGCTGGTTGCCGACCACTGGTTTAAAGAATAACCAAATATTTTGGAGGTGCGAAAATTTGAAAAGTTTAAAATTGTCAACTTTTTCAATGTAAAAACTTCAAAATTTCGATACGTTTCGAGCCTTTCTAACCCCGGAGTTTAATCTTCACACCACAGGTCGGAAAAAGTTCGCGGAATCTTTACATATTTTGGATGGGACACCGGGCATGACGTAAGTGAATGAAACGTCACCTTCAGTAAAGTCGCATCGTAGACTCAGTTTTTAAGCAGAGATATATTATTGTTTATTTCTTATTTTTGTAATTTCCCGAGGTCCCTCCGCCGAGGATTTGATTAATTTTTTAAACTGCGGTCACGATAGCATTACGTTCCTCTAAAATATTCCTTAAACAGCGAAGGGAGGAACTTCCACCTGGCAACCTTGATCGATAACTAACCACCGTACTTTGCACACAAACACGCAATACATTAAAACCGTGTCATCATCAGCATACCTTCCTCGCACAGGCTCCAAGGCGGACACAACACCGCAAAGTGAAAAGAGAGGCCAGATGGCACAAGCCGCCGCCCGATTGAATGGGTTTAGACGTATGCATCCTTGTACCTATTCATCCATCCACAACTCACCGCGTTCCTCCTGGTTGAGCCCAGCCAGCATCTGGTAGAAGATGTGATAGTTCTTCTCGTTCGGAAGAGGCCTCACCACCCGTGTCTGCAAAATAGGATAAAAAAAAAAAATATTGCTTTATAGTCGAGAACAGTCACGGACAAAGCAAGCTAGAATATAAGAAAGAGCTTTGCGGCTGTCATTGTCGTATCTGGCCAGTGGTATGCAAAGTGTGTGTGCACGAGTGTCGAGGATCGCTCACATTGACGAAAAGGTTATTTTTGATCCCATCCAGGTGGTAAAGACAGCACTGTCTATATCCATAAAAACCCTGAGATGTAGAACAATAAAAAAACGGACAGAACAACGAAGTCTCACAGTCTCATTTATTAAACAACCATCGCCTTATATACCTGTCCCAGACTTCTTTCACAATTCAAACGATTTCCTCACACTCTATTGTGTACCCTAACTTTCAACCTATACCGACAACCACGCACAAACCTGAATCAGAAAAGTATAAGAGCCCGAAGCACAAAAGAACACAAACCCAAACATAAAAGGAAAAAAAAAAGGGGGGGGGGGGGTGGATTGCGAGAAATTCTTGCACTTGGCAAGGTCAGACTGTGAACCCGGCACCACTACACAAACCTAGAAACATTTTCGTTCCCTTATCAAGGGATAAGAAAGGTTGACTGATAGCATTCCCCAAGCTTAAAATATCCATAGTTTCGCTTAGCTCTGTTAAAGACTTCGTTTTTCTGTCCGTTTTTGTTTTTATTGTTCCTACGTCTCAGGTTTACTATGGATGTCATTCACCAGCTCGCCTGCGTTTTTTACCTTTCTTCACTGTCTATAGGCGGCGCAAGCCGCCGCCCGACTCAAGGAATCGAGCTGTATTCGTTTATCCACTGTATTGAAGGTGCTGGCACATTCTGTAGCTTGTTTTGTCCGCTACTGTATGCACTCGTCGAAGATACCAATAATTTGGCGAAGGCGGTGAGTCGAGATGAGCGGGAATGCTGAATGCTAAAAATCGCCTCAGCTTTTAAAACTTTTTTTTGTTGCTGGTTATTTCGTTGTTGGTACCATGACGTTGCGTGAGGTTATGCAATACGACCACAGGGAAAGGCCAGCACGTTTCCCCTCCAAGTATCCTCACTAGTGGATCCATGCAGCCTCGCCTTTGCAGGGCACAGGTTTGTCTGCTTCTTTTGAAGGGATTGTGGTGACGTCAGAACGCCGAGCTCTGATTGGCTCTGACTGAAGGATAGTGGGTAGACCTCAAGGCAAGCTGCTTTGAGGCCATACCCACATTCTTTCAATCACGCGCGTGCTTTGCGGCGACTCTCGCCGATCTTCAGCCTGTTTGCCGAATTGGGGTGGGCCGGGAATATCCGTAAACGATGCCGACGTCACCTTGTCTCTGGGCGATATTAGGGTGTTTTCATAGGTCGTTTTCTCCGTCCCGCAACGATCTCCGCAACCCGCTACGATTCCCGGAACTCTACAACAAAGGCCATGGGCGCGCAAGCGCAGTAGCGGCTTCTTCGTTGCGGAGGGCTTAGCGGAGGGGGAAACGCGGTCTACGAAAACTCCCTATTCCGTCAGGGCGCGTGACGTCGCGCGTGACGTACGACAACAAATATGGGGGCTGCTGCAGCGGCCCATGAGACATCATATGCACGCGGTTGTTCTCGTGACAACGCTTCCAAAGGTGACCACAAGGCAAGGCGCGTGTGGCCCCGCGTATTTGGAGCAGCGCTTACTCTTTTTCGTAACTTTTACGACTTTATGCACTGACCTTTCTTTCGCCATCATGAACCTTGACTACAAATCAAAAAGAGAGTGCAAAACGTTACGCCTGAGACTTGAAACATACTAAAGGCTTATACTCTGACGTCGAGCGTATCAAACGCGGCGTAGCGCTTGATACGCAATCAGTACCTCTGCCCACAGAGGTACTGACTGGTTGCACATATCGAGTTCCTGCTCGCCGGCCAATGAAAAGCGCGCATTCTGCGCTACTCTGCATGCGTTCGCTACGCTCAACGTCGGACTATGACAGTGAATGAATGAGAAGGGATCCTTACCTGATCGAGAAAATAACAGTGAATCTTTGTCCTGTACAGGGCACCATCGGTCACCTGCACCTCGATGAAATGACCCTGCGGTGAAAAGAAACCAACAATGGTGACAAATGGAATATACACTTTTCAAAGAGATTACAGGTAAACTAATCAGCAGTCAATGCACAACTAACAAAACAACACTTCATTATACATGCACATAGGTTTTGTTGTATGATTGCGATATGTAGCGGGACGTTGAAGTCATAATAACGTAACTTTGATGTACGATATATTTGACGTCAACTAAGTATACGTTACAGCGAACAGAGCACGCGCGAGTCATTTATTTGTCATCCCAAGTGCGGGATCAACTGATGTGGGTTGGCATGTGCGTACATAGTAGGGATGGTTCTATAACGAGGTGCACGCAGAGATATGGAGTCACGCACGTATGCGATGAAATTAAACCGAGGTCACACTCCTAATACATCATACTGAAGCTTGCAGACATTGTATGAGACGTGTTTCTTCCCCATGTGACGTCACATTAGTTACGCAAAAGCCGTCTGCAGACATGTTGAAGATGCATGAGGCATGTCAGCATATCATGCTGTCGTCATGCCTGCAGCCAACACCGTGTCTTTTGTATGACGCGCAAGCAGTGTGTACGACTGCTGCTTTAGGGGTGTTGCACAAACACCCTTCGTAAAGGTGTTGCAACAACACCCTTCGTCGTGTGCTGGCGAACATTGGAAATAATACGATACTGGCGATTTTGGCAGCGTCATAAAAACGTTCTTTTCTTTACGAACAACACATTTGCAAGCAGCGCACACAACAACGTACAGTTGCGCGGTGAACAGAAACAATAAATACATATGCAATGAAGTGCGACGGAGACTGCATTCACGACACTGTTTGTCTGCTCCTCAGCCTGATATACTCAGCATCAGAAAGATACTCTCTCGCTGATGAGTGCACCCCCGCAACTCCGAAGTTTAAAAGTATGTTCGCTCTGCTCCCGGCAATATTTGGCATAAAGCGCAAGTCCAAGGAATGTGTCTTTGAATAAAAATCATTGTTACATAGACAATAATTATTCGATATAATCGTTAAAACAAGCTCCCTTCAAGCTGTTTAAAGGAGGTGTACACTCTCAGAAATAAGGGGTGTAGGGGATACACCCCTTCTCCCATGTGTAACACCCCAAAACTACATTTCGACGTTTAGTCCACTGACGTCGGGATGGCGATACCAACTTTTACGAGCGCCTTGATAGCTGTTGGATGTGACGTACTAAATAATGTGCGTATCAAAGACAAAAATGTTTAGCAACAGGGAAAAAAAAAAAAAAAAGAAACAACGAAAAAACGTTGATTGCATGTCCTACTGTAGCCTTTGAGTACATTAGCTATTTTAATAAGTTGTATCGCTCGACTATCAAACCGCTCATGAAAGTTGCTATCGTCGGTTCGACGTCGGTGGACTGAACGTCAAATTGTTGTTTTGAGGTGTTACATAAGGGGTGTACACCGTACACCCCCTATTTCTGAGAGTGTAAGGCTACTTACAGCCTTTTCTGCAGCAGCACCTTGTTTACACCCCTCGGAAATGAGAGGCGTTCTATGCAACACCACCCTATATTATGATTAAAAAGGGTGCATTACTCAAAATAAGAATTGTGAGAGGGTGCAGCCATGGATGCAATTAAGTCTCTTAAGCACTCATTTCACGCCCTTAAAGGTGTATAAACAAAATCAACAGTGTCTGGCAGCTCAAATAGAAATTTTCGACACGAGGTCGACACAACTATTGACAGTGATTTTCTGATGACATTGTTAACATGAAATCAATATAAAATCTTCGACACTGAGTCATCACGAAGTCTGTAACCCTCATCTTGACACTGGCTGCAAAAAGTGAGGTGAAAAATTTCGGCAAGAAATCAACGAAACGTTTGCAGTCTTTCTTACGAAATTCTCAAAAGAAAGAAAATAAAAGAATCCCATAATCAAAGCTTCTTATTTTAGCACAAACCATTGTTAGTATATAATAAACTGTACATATTCCGCTACGGGTTCTAAAACATTAAAGTCAGCACCAAGTCTATAAAGACTTTCTGTTGATTCATTCAACAGAAATTCAGTCAAAAGCGAGTAATCAGAGTCAACAAGCTGTCAACACGTTTTCGATAGAAAGTTTCTAATATATATATATATATTTTTTTTTTACAGGATGCCAGAAAGAAATTTGATACTGTGTGTGTCTGAAACGTGCACTGTCTTTTTTTAATTTTTTATAAACTAACGAATAACTTAAATATGCATACAAGTATCTTAATTCACAACGGAAAAAAGGAAATGGGTAAAACTGTAAAAAAAAAAAAGTTGAACATTTTCTTTTAAATTTTATTGCGGTTTTTAAAGTTGAAAACGAGCGTAAAGAAACTTCGCATAGCGTTTCAAACAAATAGAAAAAAAAAAAAAAAAAAAAACAGCATAAAAACGTGTGCGTGCGTGTGTTGCGTTGCAGAGGGGAGGGGGAGGGGGGGGGGGGCATTCCAAGCTCCGCAGGTGCCGTCAACAATCCGGATTCGCTGCTTTTGTATGTCTTGTCTTGGCTCGTTTTTGGCTTGTCGAGGTTTCTTTTATGCCGTTCGGCGTCGTGCACGGGCCACTACATCATCACTAAGAAGGGGGGGAGAAAGGAAGGCTCCCTCCGAGGAGGGTCTAGCGTCCAGGCGAATCCGCCGGCGAACCATAACTCCGGAGCACTGAGCCGTGCTCCACTTCCGACGGGCATCCATCTTGAATTTTTGTGTCCCTCAAGGTCGCGGTCTTCGTGGCGAGGCCGTTCCCCAGGAATGCTAGACTAGATCCTTGTACTTTCAGCGAAGAGTTTCGGTATAGGCATATAATAAAACGAATTTAGCCAGTAATAATAATAATAAAAAAAAAAACCCAGATTAAAATACAAATTTTGTGTTTGTCTTGTATATAAAGCAAGCAACATAGAAATACGCATTACAGTCACATAGAAGAAAATACGTGGTCAAACATTAACAATTAAACTATATTAGATATTTAAAGGGGTACCCGGCGATTTTTTGAGCTACCTCAACTAACTACATTTTCTGATTTCCCGGCCTTTACCCTTTCCGGTATGCTATTTAGTATCGCGAAATTCATAATAGTTATTGCGAAATTGGCAAATGAAAATGATGCGAAAACCAACATTCAAATATACCCGCACTTTTCAGTGCCGTGACGTCAGTGGAAGGCAGGCTTGCCAATCGAGCGAGCAGTCTAAAAAAATAGAATATGCCAATCATTTGTTCCGTGCTGGAGCGCGGGGACTGGAGCGAGCTTTCAAAGCATTCATTTGACACCTAGAAACTGCTTCGAATCAGTTGGGAGCATATTCTACAGTCCGAAGAGTGAACCCCGGCACTTTCACTGACGTCACTTTTTTGTTGTTGCCAGTGGAGACTCAGTTTGAAAAACACGGTGAGGACAAAAAGTGTAAATTCAATAACTTCGTGAAAAAAAAAAAAATATTTTAACCTAATATGTGGGATACTATTTTAGCGATGTTGTTTGGCGAGTTTAGCAAAATTTCAAGCAAATCGGGGACCATGAAGAAATCGCCGGAGTACCCCTTTAAAGGAGCGATGCAACAATTTTTGTACTTTGCCCAAATACCGCTTAGAACGAATCCCTAACGTTAATGACCTATGAAACACGCGTTCGTTTTTCACCCCACGCAATAGAAGTCCCAAGAAAAAATTTAAGGAAAAACGAGCAGCGTTCACCCCCTCAACTCGCAGCCAGAACAAGCGGCCACATCATCTGGAGCCGATTATATGCCGCCAGTGTTGATCGTAGCCACGCGCTGGGGTTGGCAAAGCGCAGGACACGCGCTGAGTTCCAGACATTGTTATGGCTCGGCTGTTGTCGTCGTTGCAGCGATTGGACACGGGTCACAACCCGAATGCTCCTTGAGCTAGCAATTATCACGAGCCCAAGTCGAGTGTCCACGCAATGCTCGGGTCCAATCTATGAACCGCATTCAAATATCGTCACTTGGGTGTACTGCGATCCCCGAGTTACGTCATCAAATTTCGCAAAGGAGAGATTGAATGAAAATGATCGCTTTTGTCCTTGAAATTACACCGCAACAAAGGAGTTTCTTGGCCAGTGGCGTTGCGTGTGAGTATCCTTGAGTACCAGGTGTGCCAGTAAGCTCGCGTCAAATGAAGAACATTCCAATTGAATATCGTTGCACAGCTCCTTTAAGGGTGTTAATTGGCCTGTCCCAGTGCTGTAACACCACCCCAAAGACACTGTCTAGGACCAACGCTCCAAGGGTGTTTTAGTAACACCCTCAGGGGAGTTAGCCCTAAGACAAGCTTATTTACACCCTTAACAGTGTAATACTTCTAGTGTGAATGTACGTCTACGTTCTTGCTTCTACGTGGCTGTAATCCGTATTTCTATTTGCGTTACAGCAGACACGTAGCCAAAAGGGGGGGGGGGGGGGGCATGCCCCCCCCCCCTGGCTACGTTTTCAATTGTTTCGAAAAATAATAATAACAAAAAAAAGTTTTTGACCTGTGAGTCGCCCTTTAATTACGAAATGCAGTGGCATCTTCTGCACAAAATAGAATGCAAAATTATTTTTATATTGCAATATTTTCAACAAGGTTTAGCTGAAATAATGTTCAGAATACTTATCAAAATTCTTAAATCAGGTAAAAAAATGATATGACTTCAGCGGTAGAGGAGAAAAAATGTTCGATCGACCAAATCCAAAACAACAAAATTCGGGACACACTTTTCATCATATATCAATATGACCCAATCATATTGACATGTACTTTATGCATAAGGGTGACGCATTAAGGCACTTGTACAATGGCCGGGAGATCAAGTTTCGATTCCGTTAACATTTCAGGCTTTACTTTCGTTAACAACTCGAGGGGAAAAAAAGGTCGAAATATTTTTACGTGTATCTCCGATCCATAGGACCGCGTTACCACGCACGTAATAAGGAACTAACGTCCAATCAACCAAAGAATACATGGCATTGTCCGTGAC